CGATGAAAAGAAGGAGATTCGTTTATGAGAACACCGCCGTGCGGCTGCGACATGTGGCTGATGGGGACTGATTGGCCGTGTCGAGTCCTTGAATTTGGCTGTCTTGTTTCTGCGGGCAGTACCTGTTCTACGACGGCATGACTTTTGGTATATTCTCCAACGGAGGGCCGATATTGTTCCGATGAGGTCACATTTGGACGGAGTAACGCATCGTTTGTTTCACGAGGCTGACGAGGATTGAGGAGTGCTAACGTAGGTGGGGAGAGAAATGTCGTCTTCTTCTTCCTGGCTGCTTTGATTCTGGCCTGCAACTCCGGGGGCGGGGGGGGAGGAGAGACGTACCCGTATTCAGGGGGGATTTCGATGACGGCCATTGTTTTTGGATTGTTTGGTGTTTTTTTTTTCTTTAAAAAAAGGGTTGTGGGTTGTAGGTTGTGGGTTGTGGGTTGGTGTGGTGTATGCCGAATCTTTCAAATGTCTCCTGACAAATTGAAACCCTTTAAACGTCCAACTTGAAATCCAATTCCAAATCCAATGCTAACCGCTCTCCGAATCTCAATCACGGTGTATTCACATCAATCAATCTCTGGCTTCCTCTCCCTTTTATATGTCTTGCAAAATAGAAAAACAATCCATTCCGCAATGACAAAGCTTGCCAACTTCCACATCCCATGCATGTTTCAAGACCTTTCCAGTTAGCTGTGCCAAGTTAACGGACTAGTTTTATCGGACCGGAGAGTTTGTTCACCCCGCACTGTGCCCTGATCGGGACAATCGGGACAATTGGGGGAGACGAGTCGGGCGATCTGTTGCGCCGGTGCGGAGTTTCGCACACATACTGTGAGGATGAACCACACGACCCGCCTGGTTGCCTGAAAACGAAACATCACGCACATCCCACAACACACGCAAGAACAAGGCATCCGCTTGCATGGGCTCGCATTGGTAGCCTCGTTACATCGCATCGTCATTCTCTTATTTAAACATCTGCCTAATTGCCCATTGTAACCTACGCTAGGTATTGGTCTTTTAAAGTCTCAAAGAAAGAAAATTGGTTCAAGACTATATCATATCACGTCAGCTCGTGGACAACATCCAAACAGAAGTGCTCCGAGCCAAGACAAAAAGCAAAGAGAGAAAGGGACAGGGCAATGCAAACGCATCCCCTCGATTTTTCTTTTCTTCAGACATGTTCCTCATATTTCATACATGGAGAGGTCATGGCCTTCAAAGACGAGGCCTGCTCGAAACACTCGATGTGCCACTCACCGACTTGTTCTTGAGGTCGAATCGGTCGTTGTTCATAATCTTGTCCCACGCAGCGATAAAGTCCTTGACAAACTTGTCTGTGTTGTCCGCCGTCGCATACGTCTCAGCAATGGCACGGAGCTCGGGGTGCGATCCAAAGACCAGATCGTGCCGGGTGGCCGTCCACTTCTTCTGGCCCGACTTGCGGTCCTTGCCCTCGTACAGCTCGTGTGGCTGGCTGTTGTCAACCGCCTTCCACTCTGTGTTTTGATCGAGTAGGTTGATGAAGAAGTCGTTGGAGAGCTGGCCGGGGCGCTTGGTGAAGACGCCGTGAGACGAGCCATCCCAGTTGGCGTTCAGCGAGCGAAGACCACCGGTAAGAACAACGAGCTCAGGAGCTGTGAGGCGCAAGAGATGGGCCTTGTCAACATCCAGCTGCTCGGTGAGGACACGGTCGTTACCCTTGCCGTAGTTGCGGAAACCATCGGTGACAGGCTCGAGGTGGGCAAACGACTGGACATCAGTCTGCTCCTGGCTGGCATCGGTGCGGCCAGGTGTGAAGGGCACCGAGGTTCCAGAAGCCTTTTCGAGTGCTGCCACACCAGCCAAGACGATGAGATCGGCAAGCGAGACCTTCTTGCTGCCGCTGTTGAACTTGGACTGGACGCCCTCGAGCGCCTTGAGGACCTCGGCAAGCTCCTTGGGGTTGTTGACCTCCCAGTCCTTCTGGGGCGCGAGGCGGATACGAGCACCATTGGCACCACCACGCTTGTCGCTGCCACGGAAAGAGGCTGCCGAAGCCCAGGCTGTGCGGATGAGCTTGGATGGCTCGATGCCAGCATCCAAAATCTGTTTCTTCAGGGTGGCAATGTCAGACTCGCCAATCATCTCACCCTGAGGCTCTGGAATAGGGTCTTCCCAGAGGAGGATCTCCTTGGGGACTTCAGGGCCAAGCCACCTGGATCGAGGGCCCATGTCACGGTGGAGAAGCTTGAACCAGGCACGGACAAAGGCATCGTGGAGCTCCTCTGGATGATCCAACCAACGACGAGTAATCTTCTCGTACGCTGGATCCATGCGCATGGACAGATCGGTGGTCAACATTCTTGGCTTGTGCTTCTTGTTCGGGTCAAAGGCATCGGGGATGATCAACTCATCCGTCTTGGCGACCCACTGGTTGGCACCGGCAGGAGACTTCTCCAGCTCCCACTCAAACTTGTACAGGTACTCGAGGTACTTGTTGCTCCACTTGGTGGGGGTGCCAGTCCAAGTGACTTCAAGACCACTGGTGATGGTGTCTGGTCCCTTGCCACTGCCGTGCTTGTTGATCCATCCAAGACCTTGTGCTGCAACGTCCTCTGAGTTGGGGTCTGGGCCAATGTTCTCCGATGGGGCCGCGCCGTGGGTCTTTCCAAACGAGTGGCCACCAATGATGAGGGCAGCTGTCTCCTCGTCGTTCATGGCCATGCGGCCAAAGGTTGTGCGGATGTCGTGGGCAGCAGCGACTGGGTCAGGAACACCGTCGGGACCTGTACTACTTGTTAGACCACAAGTTTCTGTGTGTGACGTTGGGGTCCCACAACTCACCCTCGGGATTCACGTAAATGAGACCCATGTGCGAGGCAGCCAATGGCTTCTCGAGATCCTCTGCTTCGTGTGAGATTTTGTCGTTGACCTTGTGCTGGTCTCCATCGACGATGCCTTCGCCCTTGACACCCTTGGCTCCTTTGGAATAGCGGATATCGTTTCCTAGCCACTCTGTCTCGCCTCCCCAGTAGACCGACTCGTCAGACTGGAAGGTGTCGGTACGGCCAGCGGCGAAACCGAATGTGGGGCAACCCATGGACTCGAGGGCGACGTTGCCAGCCAGGAGCATGAGGTCGGCATAGGAGATCTTGTTGCCATACTTTTGCTTGATGGGCCACAAGAGGCGACGAGCCTTGTCAAGCGAGACATTGTCGGGCCATGAGTTGAGAGGGGCAAAGCGCTGTTGTCCTTCGCCACCTCCACCACGGCCATCCGTGACACGATAGGTACCGGCGCCGTGCCATGCCAATCGGATGCTGTGTGTGGGCGGTTAGTTTATATTTGCACAAGCAAGGCAAGAGATGGGAAGCGTGATGATGCTGCTTACAAGAAACCACCGTAGTGGCCAAAGTCGGCAGGCCACCAGTCCTGGGAGTCGGTCATCAAGGCATTGAGATCCTTCTTCAAGGCCTCGTAGTCGAGCTTCTTGAACTCCTCCGCATAGTCGAAGTCGGGGCCGAGAGGGTTTTGGCGGGGATCGTGCTGGCGGAGGATGTTGGTCCTCAGCTCGTTTGGCCACCAGTCGACATTCCTAGTACCGGCGCCGGCGACATTGGCGGTCTTTACGGGACACTCGCCTTTGGCCATGATGAATGCTCAAGTCGTTGTGTTTGATGTATGACGTGAGTGGGTGGGTGGGTGGGTGACAGTGAATTGGTGAGAAAAACAAAGTGGCGAGCACTTGTTCTACGGAGCGGCGTGAAGGGCGGAGAGCAAGTATAAGTAGAGTAGAGTACTAGGGGAGGGGAGGGGAGGGTAGCGGGGTTAATCCTATTCATAAGCACGAAACGTCTGGCCAGCCACTCGCTGGTTTGCCCCTCGTGCACACACTCAGTGCACACCACACATGCACTAGGTATACCTACGGTAGTGGTAGGATAGGTAAGCGTCGCATACATACTATTAGTACCACAGTGCTCTAGGTAGGTATGCATCCTGCCGCCGTTTGTCCTGCCCGCCTGCCAGCACACGTCACTAGTAAGGATAAAGCCAACGGGTTCTGCAAAATCAGAATTTCCTCTTGTTTCATTAGCTCCCCATAATGGCTTGCCTTTGTTCACTTTCACAACTTATTCCCCGTCCACCCTCTGATCGGCTGTTTTCCTCTCTCTCTCTCTCTCTCTCTCGAACCTTCTGGCATGGCGATGGGCAGAGGGGATGTGGGTCCCGCGAGCACCCCGCCTCCAGTCTCGGAACCGCTCGCGGAATGGCCATACTCGTATTGTACAAGTAAGTAGATGCGATGGATGATCTGATTAGACACTCTCTGTGCATCAAATCACTCGATGCCCATTGGCCACAAGCGATACAGAAATGTACAGGCGCAAGTGGATGGCTACGCCGAGGTACGGGGTGGGGCGGGCGGGGGGGGGAAGTGGAGGGCATGCCAGGCTGGCAGGGAAGAGAGTGACAAGTGACTTCGCGGTGAGGGGCGGCAAATGGCGGATCTGCTTTCGAATGGGGCGCGGGGGGAGGGGGAAAGGCGGGCTGAATCCTGATGTCGTCGATGATGGCTACACTGGGCTAGACAAGGCCATGTTAGGTAAGCCACGTCATAGCCAACATGTGCTGGCGCTACTCCAACTTGGGCTTAGGGTGGTGTACATTGTATTTTGCACAGATCGATGTTCCCAGGTGCCCCACTACACGTGACCTGCTCGACATCTTTCCCCGCATGTCCTGTCGTGGGCAATACATGCCCATTTGTACCCGCTACCGGTATTGCCCCAATACCATTCCAATACTGTGATTATTATGGCAGGAAAGTATCAGTCCAGGCCAAAGGGATAGTGCAGTTGCGCCACAGCGCACCACAGCGCACAGCCATTGTCCTCGAGGCTGGAACATTGCGGAACTACACCCGCCTTCGGCTGTTGGATAGGTATGCTATCCTCTATCGACTCAACCTCCATGAGTCGCCACAATGACGCCCACAAGATCGATATCTCCTGTACCACATACTCTATTAGTACCTACTCTGTGCGGGCCACACCTAATAGTAGATTCCTTTTGATAGTTCCATTGGCTGCCCCTCGCTTCAGACCGCTTTGACTGGCCTCGGCCGAAGAATACAAAGCCCCCTTGGGGCCACCCGCCCACCGCTCGGTGGAATCGTGGTGGAGCTACAACAGAGTACATCCAAGCAGGAGAGGGGCAAGACATACTTTATCGTCTTCTCTCCCGCTCTTTTGTACTTGCACTCGCAGCTCTCCCGTCCTCTTATATCTCCTTATATCTCTCCTCTCAGCTTGTTTTCTCAACTTCCCATTCCGCACCTGACCATGGCCGACGAAAAAGTACAGACTTTTGACATCCCCAAAACCTGCAAAGCAGGTGTTGTCGTCAACGAAGGCCCTGATTTTCATGTAGAAGTACAAGATGTGCCGGTTCCTGAGCCTGGTAAAGGACATGCGCTAAGCTGCCGTCGCGACCAACTAATATTGGGAAATAGGCCCCACCGATGTCCTGATTCGGCTCAATGCGACTGGAATCTGTCACTCAGACCTGCACTTCATGTGCAATGATTGGGCACTACCAAAAATGTCCGTCTTTGGCACTCGGTGCGCAGGTCATGAAGGAGCTGGCGTCATTGTCAAGGTTGGCGACCAGGTCAAGAACCTCAAGCCGGGCATGCGTGCTGGATACAAGGTCAGCTTCTTGCCCAGACAGCTGTCGCGCAGCCGATCCCGAGGCTAACTCTTCCAAAGCCGGTCCAAGATACCTGCGGTGTCTGCAGTCTATGCCGTGATGGCAACGAGTGTTATTGCCCCAAGGCCGTCATGACAGGGCTCATGGTAGATGGATCCTATAAACAATACATCCTGTCACCGGAGCGATACACGACTCTGATCCCCGATGGAGTGAATGACTACATCGCCGGACCCATCATGTGCTCAGCCTCCACCATCTATACCTCAATCAAGGAATCTGGACTCAAACCGGGTGATTGGGCCGTCTTCCCAGGTGCTGGCGGCGGGGTAGGAATCCAGGGTGTCCAGCTTGCCAAAGCCATGGGCCTCCGCGCTGTCGCCGTCGACACTGGCGAAGACAAGAAGAAGATGTGCCTCGACATCGCCGGCGCAGAACACTTTATCGACTTTAAGCAAGTCGACAATGTAGCCGACGAAATTGTGCGCATCTGTGATGGAATCGGCGCCCACGGAGTCTTCGTCACAGCAGTCCAAACCTACCCATCCTCCCTCTCCTACCTCGGTGGACGTGTCGGCGGCAAAGTCATGTGCATCGGCCTCCCCCCAGCGGGTACGCAACACATCGACGTGGATCCCAATCAACTGTGTTTTAAGAAACAGAGCGTGCACGGTACGGTCGTGAGCAGCATGCTGGATGTGGACAAGACGCTCGAATTTGCAAAGCGGGGACTGTTGAAGCCGATTTACACAGTCTATCCACTCAGCCAGTTCAATGAGGCGGTGCAGAAATTGAAGCGTGGAGAGATTGCGGGCAGAGCGGTGGTTGACTTCAACATGGAGTAGTGCGGGGTGTCTGGATGAGCAATAACACAACGTAGACGAAGAAAATCTATGTTGTAGCTAGCCGCCTCATGGCTGATTTGTACAACACGTGTATTTTGAACATGATGGAGCGTGAGAGAATGTGATGGTGGGTAATTAGTGCTTCACTGCAGCTTTGATCCACATCATCAAAAGGAGTCGTGGTTTATTTTTAAACATTTGGGCCTGATCTGCGGCACAGAACGCAAGGATTGGCATGTGACGAACAAGGCTGCCAAGCCACCAGAGTTTGTCACGTTTGTCTCAACCGACTTCAGCCCTACAGCGGCATCTCAATACTAGCATAATAGCACTTGGAACATCGCACACCCCTCGAGATGACTCCTTGAGCAATGCGCCAACAGCTTGCACACCATTATATGTCGAGGGCATGTCCGGCGCATCCCGTAGCCAGTCCCCATATGGACAGGCCGAAGCATCGTCAAGTAGCACATGGAACGCGAAGCAACCCGCCGTCGAGGACGACTACAGCGACGAGGACGCGATATTGGCGGACGATCCATTAGAGCACAATCTACCTGAGCAGTACAGGCTCCCTCGAATTGCATCTACTGTCCACCCCCTCTAATGCTACGACTGCAGAATATCCTTCAAGCGCAAACCCAAGTCCACAGCGCCCTCCTTCGCCCTTCCTCGCTTCCTCTCAGGCGGCGGCGGCGGCAGCAGTAGCAGCCATGCCTCACCTGTTCACAACACACGCCTGCAGGCATTACGTAATAACCCCACATCCAATGACTCGACCGAGCTCATCCTCAATTACCTCGATACTCCCGGCGACCCACTCCAAGACACAAAGGATGCGACAGGCCTGGATTGGTATGTCGAAGGCCCTGGACGCCGAGTCGGCTATGATGACCTCACAGCCATTGACTGGATCTTCGAGTACGCCAAAGAACGACAAAGGTTACGCTACCTGTATTCAAGCGCGAGTGGGGTCCTCGGACAGATAAAGCAACTTGCGGATGCGAGCCAAGTATGGATCATCTTGGTCGCTGCTGGAATTCTGAGTGGAGCTATCGCTGCCTTCATCGACATTGCGAGTGATTGGCTGGGAGACTTGAAGACGGGCTATTGCCACCACGGCGACGGCGATGGCAGGTTCTATTTGAACAAGGCTTTTTGCTGCTGGGGCTATACGAACATGCAAAAATGTCATGATTGGAACTCTTGGGGGCAAGCCATGGGTATTACAGGTCTGGGTGGACAATGGATTGTCGAGTACATTTTCTTCGTACTCTTTTCCGTATGCAGACCTCGACAAGTTTGGGAATTGGAGACGCAATGTAATTGTTGCTAACAGGAGATAGGTACTCTTTGCTGCATGCGCCAGTTTTCTCGTCCGCGAGTTCTCACCCTACGCAAAGCATAGCGGTATTCCAGAGATCAAGACAGTCCTTGGGGGCTTTGTTATACGCCATTTCTTAGGCGGTTGGACATTGGTCACAAAGACAATTGGGCTGGTATGATAGTGTCCGCCTACATGATGAAACAAATCGCTGATATCAGCAGTGCTTGGCTGTTGCGTCTGGCCTTTGGCTCGGCAAAGAGGGCCCCCTTGTCCATGTTGCATGCTGCTCTGCGAATCTTTTCATGAAACTCTTCAGCAACGTGAATGGCAATGAAGGTGGGTGCATCTACATCTTGAGGTGTCGGGGCAGGCACTGACATCAGCATAGCGCGGAAACGAGAAGTACTCTCCGCTGCTGCCGCTGCCGGTATCTCGGTTGCATTTGGCGCGCCCGTCGGCGGCGTGCTGTTCAGTCTTGAGCAGCTCTCCTACTACTTTCCTGATAAGACCATGTGGAGTAGCTTCGTCTGCGCCATGGTTGCCGCTGTGACGCTTCAGCTCTGCAATCCCTTTCGTACAGGCAACCTCGTTCTGTATCAGGTTACATACCACAGCGGCTGGCACGACTTTGAGTTGGTCCCATTTGCCTTTTTAGGCATACTCGGCGGTCTGTTCGGAGGTTTGTTCATCAAGCTCAACATGGGCGTGGCTGAATGGCGCAAGAGTCGGACATACCTCAAAGGACCGGTGAACGAGGTAGTGCTGGTCTCCTTCATCACGGCGTTGGTCAACTACCCAATCAAGTTCATGCGCGCGCAAGCTTCGGAACTTGTACACATACTCTTTGCGGAATGCGCCGATCTCACAGAAGACACACTCGGACTCTGCAAGTCGGGGAAAGCGAACACTGGCGTCATTACACTGCTGCTCGCCTCCTCAGGCCTAGGCATCATCTTATCGAGCTTCACATTTGGTCTCCGAATCCCCGCCGGCATCATACTCCCCTCCATGGCTATCGGCGGCCTCTTCGGTCGCGCCGTAGGTCTCAGCGTTCAAGTCTGTCAACAAGCCTGGCCCAACCTCTTCGTTTTCTCCTCCTGTGAGCCCGACATTGCCTGCGTAACGCCCGGTACCTACGCCATTGTCGGCGCCGCCTCCGCCCTGGCCGGAACAACACGAATGACGGTATCGATCGTGGTCATCATGTTCGAACTCACCGGTGCCCTAACCTACGTTCTCCCCATCATGATTGCCGTCATGATCAGTAAATGGATCGGCGACGCCATCTCCCCGCGCGGCATCTACGAATCCTGGATCCATTTCAATGGCTATCCCTATCTCGATAACCGCGACGACGACGGCAGTTCTATCCCCGACGTCTCCGCCGCACACGTAATGACGCGACTTGAAGACCTCACCACCATCACAGCAACAGGACACACAATCGCCTCACTACGCAACATGCTCTCGCAACACCGATTCCGCGGCTTCCCCGTCATCGACAACTCTCGCGATGCCCTCCTCTTGGGCTACATATCCCGCACTGAACTCAGCTATGCACTGCATGCCGCTTTGTCGCCCCCGCGCAACCTCTCCACCGACACAGAAGCCTATTTCGCACACCAGCCACTCTCCGACCCAACCACCAGTCTTGACCTCCGGCCGTGGATGGATCAAACGCCCATTACTCTGAATGCAAAAGCCAGCTTTCAACTCACCGTCAGCATGTTTCAGAAGTTGGGGCTCAGGTATGTCGTCTTCACAGAGAGGGGCATGCTGAGGGGCCTGTTGACGAAGAAGGATGTGTGGTATGTTTTGAATGGCATGGAAGGCGAGGATCGAGAGGAAGGGGGCGCTGGGGTAGGGATTGCGAGGGGTGGACTGAGGGAGCAGGGAGAGGGTTTGGGAGAGCGGAGTGAGGAGAGGGGGTTGTTGGGTGGCGAGGATGAGGATGGGGATGATAGTTTTCTCCGGGACGGGGATGGGGACGGGGATGGAGATCCGGATGCGGACATAGAAGAGAGGAGGTCAAGGTAATGCGGGATTATTTGTGTGAAGGTGTGAATTTTCATGCGGATTTGAAGTGTCTTGTACAGGCACGCTTATTTGTAGTTTACGTTGAAAACCTGCCAAAGCAAAGTTTCGCCAACACAGCCAACCTCCCCCCATTGTCAGATTTTAGAACCTTGCAAGTTGACGAGACCCCGGGGAACACCGAGTCTAGAGTTTGGAGCTTTAGTTTTCTGGTTGCTTGGTTGGGTGGCCTGGTTGGGGACTTGAATGTCTTGTTTCCATGTCCACGATCTGGGTATTCATCGGCGTTGGCATGCACGTGATCACTCAAGCTGCCAAGCCGTGCTATACGACTTTGAATGTAAGAAACAGACAAGCGTACCTTGCCACGAACCAGGCACCTCAGCATCCTCGCCATCGCCAAGGTCATCCATCATCGAATCGCGCGTCTTCCCATTGAGTTTGTTGATCGCGGTGTGCAAGCGATCCAGTAAGATTGTGTATTTGGCGCAGCGGTGGGTGTGGTTTGTGGCTATGCGCCCGCCGCCCACCGCCTGCCTCGGACTATCCTTACCCCAAACGCAACCTTGGTCCTGCATGGTTATGTAAGGGGAAAAGCCCGATGCTGTCCGCCGTTGTCCGTTTCGAAAGTCTAGCTGCTTTGTTCCTGCGTTGTTGTCTCACCTGCTGGTTACCTACCCACTCGCTTTGTTTACCGGTACGGGTTTCGGGACTCGGGTGTTGACCGGTGCAGTTGAAAAGCGATCGGTTGCAAAGGATAGAGACGCAAGGGCTGAGACGCAAGAATACGGATTACGATTTACGGAGCTACGAACCTGCGAACTTAAAGACCTACCGGCGTTAAATGTTGAGCTTCATATGAAGTGCATCGAACTCGTGACGCGCGGGTAGCGGCAATGCCTGGAATCTTGCATGCGATACGATTAGGAAGACGAATACGACTAGCAAGCTGAAAGAGCATTGAAGCTTTTGTATACGCCAACTACCGTGTGCGAACATCCACGTTTGTGTCGGGAACTCTGCGATACCTGGTACAGGTCCGACAATGGCGCTTCATCCTGTCGAACCGGAGCAGCGGAGGAAGAAGAAGACGTCGCACACGTCGGTTAAGCCGTGTGAACCACGACCTATTCCGAAGGAGCCCTCGAGACCACCACCGCCATTGCCCGTAGATTCGTTTCTGCAGGACTTTGTGCCGCAGGATCAGGCTGCGTCGACGCAGTATATTGATGTTCTGTCGCCGCTTACCGGTACGCCCCCGTCTCGGCCGCAACTATCTAGCTATCATGCGCTTCCTACGAGTCCACTGCAAAATCCCATGTACCACTCACCGCCTCTGCATCAGTCTCCCTATGGCCAACCACCTGGCTTTCCACCTGCCGAACTACTGGCATCGTATCCAAGTCAATCGACTATACGCTTCGCTCCTGTTCCGCCGCCGAAGCCACATGACTACACCTTCAAAGAGCAAAGGGATAAAATGGACCGTGTGGCTGCAAAGTCCTATAGCAATCTGCGAGATAGCGCTGGAAAGACAATGACCAAGGTGACGACCAACTGTATTGAGCGACCTACGCATTTAGTGGCTATGAAGAGCATGCAGACGCTGTGCAAGGGAGCGGCTCTTTGTGATATCATCAGCTCAAAATTCGACTCGGTCATTACTAGTATTGATGAAGAGAAGTTTAGTGGGAAAGAGCAGGATCTCATCATTTATGACAACCAGCAACAACATGACCAACAGCCACAGCCACCGCAACATGCACCTGCGGTCCGTCCACCAATCGAGGAATCCAAAGTACAGGAATCACATCACGTGGACCCGAATCTTGGAGAACGGAAAGGCTGGAATCATTTTTCAAAGGTGTGGCTGTATGCCAACTCGCGTCTCCCAGCCTATCTACCTCCTTTCAAAGTATACCTGCCGACCTATCCGCTCATCTGCTTAGCAGCAACGTACTCTGAGCGCGTCTACTCTCCACCGGACTCGAAAGAGGCCCGCGAGATGGAAACTCACATCCCCGCCGACTGGCGCACAGGCACCAAAGCCATGGTCCTCAAAGCCGTCCCCGTCGAAGACCTCAACACCGTCGTCTTTGCCATCCGCGGCAGCCAGACCTTCATGGACTGGGCCGTAAACTACAACTCCGCCCCCAGCAGCCCGGAGAACTTCCTCGACGACCCAGATAACCTCTGCCACTCGGGCTTCCTCTACGTCGCCAAGAAAATGGTCAAGCCCGTAGCCAGCCGGCTCAAAGTCCTGCTCGAAGAGAACCCGGCGCGCTCCAACTGCAGCCTCCTCATCACGGGGCACTCGGCCGGCGGCGCCGTCGCAGCCTTGCTCTACGCACACATGATGAGCACCACCATCAACTCCGAACTCAACTACCTCACTAGCTTCTTCAAGCGCGTGCATTGTATCACGTTTGGCGCACCGCCCGTCAGTCTGCACGCGCTGCGCAAACCCCCGGATCTCCGGCACCGCAAGAGTCTGTTCTACAGCTTCATCAACGAGGGCGATCCCATTCCACGCGCGGACAAGAACGTCCTGCGCAGTCTACTGAAATTGTACACTTCGCCGGCGCCGAGCAGCACTCCATCTCTTCTTGCCGACACGACGAACAAGTCGAGGTCGAAACTCAGTCTCGGGCAGAAGAAGAGTCAACAGAAGAATCTCTCGTCCTCGACCGTTGCCCAAGTCCAGCCTTCGAAATCTAAACTCTGTCTTTCCCGCCCCTCTAAATATTCACTTCAACCCACTACCACAACATCAACAACAACATCAACAACAACACTCTCCACATCCCCACCCCCACCCCCACCAGCCACATGGCCCATACCCCCCTGCACCCTCTCCCCAGCCGGCCGCCTCATCGTCCTCCGCCGCCGTCCCTTGCCCGCCACCAAAAGCGACGAGGACGTCGAGGCCGTGACGGTCGACGATGCCTTGTTGCGCCAAGTCGTGTATGGCGATCTGCTGAAGCATCAGATGCGCGTGTATAAGAAGAGGGTGGATTGTATTGCTATTCGCGCGGTCACGGGGGATTATGCGTGATGGATGATTAGGCTGGGGTAGGGAGAGAGGGGATTGGGGGAGGGGTGAGGGAAAAGAGGAGAAAGGGGGGTGAGAGTGGTTGAGTATAGTCAAGATTATTGGGGTTTTTTATGGGTAGGAGTTTGCGGGTCGGTGTTGGTGGTATTGCTTTCATATGGGGTTATTGGGTAATCTGGGGGTGATGTTTATATAATGAGGTCTTGTAAATCTACATGGTATCTAGTCTGTTTTCATATTTTCATTTTTTTCCCTTTCTCACTTCCCTCTTTCTTTCCTCATCCCCGTTCTACAAACTATCAACCAACGAGTCCTATGCCAAATGTTGACAGTTCGGCTAGAGATGGTTAGTACTATGTTGAGTGTGCATGTGATTTATGTTTCAAACGGTGGTGCTGGTGCGAGCGTGGTTAGAGGAGTCGTTGCGTTCATTTGTATGTTGGGTTTAGCGTGGTTGGAATGGTGGTGGTTGATATAAGCGGGTGTGGCTACCGAGGTGTTGATGCATCGTCTCCACTTCACACGTCTTTACAACACCAATTTCTCTGGAATGCGTGTCTGAGTCCGTAGAACTCCCGCCACTGTTAACCAACTACCGCATCAAGTTTACGCGTGTGCAGGCCTTAGAACTTGTACACGTACGGTATCCTTTCCAGAAAGCGCTAGCAGAAAGCGCTAATCCTATGAAGGCACCGCATACACCGGGACTCTGCAAGCTAGGGAAAGCGAATACTAAATTGTTGTACTACTACTTGCCTCCTTAGGCCTAGGTATCATCCTATCTAGCTTCACAATCAGTCTCTAGGTTAACAAGACTTCAACGCTACAAAAAAGTACCCCAAAACAAAGGCCCTTGACTCCTTCCAGTCCGGATCGTACAGCTCCGTTGTCTGCCATACGGTATGGTAAGTACGGTACGCTTGCCAACGCCTGCTGCGACACCATTTTGAAGATCTCTTCTACATCAGATACATATCTCCATGTGCTAAATACCATCTTCATGCACAGCCAGCGTTTCAAGTGACAGACTAGTCTGCCTCGGTCCGAGCGCGGGGAATTAATTTGGCGGAGAGAATGGGCCCCGCTCATCTTGAGCATTTCTGCCCCAGGAAGTCACTATATTCACTGGCATCTGCAGCAGGAAATACAATCGCACATGTACAAATAAATCCCATTTCTGACTTGGCACATGCCTTGTCCTGGACGAGTGACTGGGTTTAAGACTGAACTCCGCTTCGAAAGAGGAATATATCACTTCGATGCCTTGGATTTAGCGTTCGTCACGGCCCTGATGCATATTGTGGAAAGTCCAAGGCGTCGGCCAAATCGACAATCAATATGAAGGACACCACCAGTCCTTGATGAAGCAGCAATATCGCTCAACGTGTATAAATCTCCCACTCCACCCGCCTACAATCATAAATCACATTACCATCACCACCAACGGGAAACGAAAAACGAAAAACGGGAAATCCCATATACCCACACTCCATCACACCATAGTCCTCAAACCACCCTCCATACCATAAACACAATGAAACTCCCATCCCTCCTCACCACCGCCCTCCTCGCCGCCACCACCGCCGCAACCGCACTCCCCCACCCAGCATCCAGCCCATCCCTCCAACCACGCCAAGACACAGGCTCCTACACCATCCCCGGACTCGGCGCGCGAAAGCGCCAGGTCACCGCTGCCGGGGCCTCGGTGTTTGACCTGGCAATCGCCATGCTGGAGACTGAGCGTATGGATACGGATGTATGTTTCGTGTAACCCCTGGCTCTTCTCTTGTGTTTGTCGAGTGCTTGTGCGGGACTGGGAGGAAGAGATTGTATGGGATGGCTAAAAAGGGGGTTTTGGGAGCTGAGGATTGATAGTATGTCTATGGTGATAACAAACAAGACGACTCGGCAAACTTTGGCATTTTCAAGCAGAATTGGGGTATGTTGAGAGCGTGTTGTGACAGGTTTAGGGGCCAGGAACAGAGTAGTTGGAATAATGGGGCCCTGTTGAAGTATGTGGAGTTTTCTTCTGTTTTTCGTTTCTTCTCCCTTTGTTCCGCTGTATGTTGGAGAAAAGGCATCCGGTATATATTGTGAACGTTTAGACTATTGCTAACTTCCGGCTCTCCAGCTCCGATCTCCAGGCCGATGTAACTTGCCTGAAGCAATGCCAATCCTTCTACGGTATGGATCGTTGGTTAGCCGGGCACCGCAATGGCGCAACTGGGTTGAGTAATCCGAATACACCGGATATCCAGAGTGAGTTTCAACTTTATCCCCTTTCTTTCTTGCGATGATAACTTCTCCCTGTTACTCTTCTTTGGCAGGCATGGGCTAAATCAGAAACTTGTAGATTATGTCAACGGGGTTAGGTATATTGAGCAGCAGTTGTCGACGCAGCCGGGGGGCTTGACGAATGATGTGAGGTACTGGATTTTCGTTGTTCCGATTTGAGGAAAGGGATGGGATGGGCGGGACATATGGGCAATGGGTTTTTTGGGGGTTGGGAATAGAGTTGGATTTTGGTATGGAAGAATCTGTGGGAAAAACTACGCATTCTTTTGAGTGTCTATTCGTTTATACTAATAACAACCTACCTCTAGCCTTGTATTCATTTCTTTTCTATTTGGCATGAAATCGCCACTTCAACTGAATCAGTCTTTTGATTCTACAGAATTGAGAAGATTGACAGTGTCGAGCCGGAACCATTCAAGTTTAAAGAGACTTGATTCTAATTCCGCGATATTGACAGTATGTGATTCTAATCCGAGTATGCCCTTTTTTCGTACCTATCCAGATCTACCTGTCATCTGGAATGGTATTGAAATGCCCCGGCGTGTCGTATCGAGTTGCATAGCAAAACATCTCGAGTGTGGATGAGGGTTGTGGTATTGCATCAGTAGAACGATTATTAATCTTACTTTGAATTTCAAATATATGAGAAGCAGAAACAATCTAGATATGTCAAGGAAATGTAAAGGATTGAAGTTCGGTGTCGGGAGTCCCACTTTGCGTAGCAGGCACCATCAACGCAATTGCTACCTTGTAACAACAACATTCTTCCGATATCACTGCAGTGAGCGCCTTCTACACGTGGATCCAAAGCTCCTACTCTTCATCAGAAACATGTGATTGTCATGCGTAACATTCGCAAACTCCCAAGCAGCCAAATGTTCTCCACCTCCACTCCTCTCAACGTACATCAAGTTTCCACATAGCCTTCACACCACCAAACCCCCCTAGGCCCTGTCACCCCTCGACTCACTCTCTAGATCAGCATCCATAAAATCAAATTTCAACTATGCTCATCACTCCAACTACATACCTAATCCTCGCCCTGCTCTTCCTCAACCACGCCCTCAGCGCCCCTTATCCACTACCAAACTCAACATCAACCATCCCACCCACCACCAGCTCAACGTGCAACGAATCGATCGGCTCCTGCAATACCACCACCCCCGCCAACACCACTCTCACAGCCCACACCCCCCTGACCAATGGCACGCACCAAAACATCTGCCAGGAAGTCTACCCCTCCGACCTCACGGTCCTCAACTCCCGCTACCCTGACCACAACTCTACCCACCTCCACCACACCACGCAACTCTTCATGCTACGCCGCCAACTCGCCAACGACGGCGAAATCGCCACACGCGTCCAGTTCAACGACCTCCCACCCGCTACCTCAAACCAGTCATGTCGTCTGGAATTCATCCTCCCGAGGCCATCCCTCCAGCGCATCTCAGGTCTAAACCCCAGCTTCAACGTCTACACGGTCGAGCGCGCGCCCGGCGCGCCAGCCTCGTGGAATACATATCAAGGCAATGCTGGCGGTGGCGAGGACGCAACGCTGTTCGGCACTGTGAATGGCGAGGAGGAGGCTTTGGCCCGGACGAGACGTGTAGGCGGTGTTGCGGCGGTGAATGAGACGTTGTGTAGGGAGACGTTGACGTTCCAGATGGGTATGAAGTATAATGGCAAGGGGGTGCCGAATTACTGGGAGTTTTCGAATGTTGGACTGCCTGCTTGGCCTGTGCAGGGGTTTCGCGTTGTGCATGGGTGTTGAGTGGATATTTAGATTTTTGTTGTTGTTGTAAGGGCGTGGGATGTGCGGTGCACTGAGTAGGCAACTAATGCGGTGGGTTTGACTTGAGGATTTGTTTTGCGTTGGATACCATTGTTACTTTTATCTCATCTCATGTACATGTGTTTGAACATGGCCCTGATGCTCCATAGGGATTATAAACCGTCTAGTTCTCAAGAACATACCTGTACCTCGCTTTACCAGCCGTCATATCAAGCACGGCCTGATTCGCCTCCTTCATACTCCTCTTCTGCACCCACGGCTTAATCTTCTTATCAGCAGCGAGCTGCAACATCTCGGCAATCTCGCTCGGCGCTCCAATACCACTACCCCCAATCTTAATACCACTCATGAGCAGCGTAAACGCATTGATAGGAGGCAACTCCCCCCCATCCGGTGCCCCAACCTGAATCAGCGTGCCCTTTGTCTTGAGCAAGCGCAAATAGCCATCCAACGGCATCTTTGCACTCGACACCGTACACACAATCAGATCAAGCGTTTGGGCATTATGTTTAGCCCAGTCCTCATCCTCATCCGTAGCAATGTACTGATCCGCACCCAGCTTCAACACGTCCTCCCGCTTCTCCGCCTTGCGACTAATCCCCACCACTTTGTCCGCCCCGAGTGCTTTTGCAAATAACACGCCGAAATGGCCGAGGCCGCCTACACCCACGATTCCCACCGTCTTCCCGGGTCCACACCCATTCTGCTTGAGCGGCGAATACACAGTGATGCCGCCGCACAGCATGGGCGCCGCATCCGCGCTATCCAGCCCGTCGGGGATACGCAGCACGAAGTGGCCATGGCTGCGATTGTGCGTCGCATACCCGCCATAGGATTTCCCCTCGTCGCCCGGGTAGATGCCCGCGTAGGTCCCGACGTTTCCGCGCCGGCAGTGGTTCTCGAGATGCTGGCTGCAGTCCGGGCAGTCGGGTTGCAGGCAGGAGCGGGCTTGGGCGCCGACGCCGACGCGGTCGCCGGGTTGGATGTGGGTGACGTTTTTGCCGACTTTGACGGCTTTGCCGACGATTTCGTGGCCGACGACACAGGCTGGTTTGGGGGGTTAGAGGGTGGGTTTGTTGGAGGGGTGAAATGTATGTGGGCGGGGCACTGATTGAGGGGGAGGTTGAGGTGATGGTGATGCGGATCAAAACTTACGGTAGGGAGTCTCGCCCCATCCAGACTTCAATGTGTGTAGATCAGATCCGCAGATTCCGCAATGCGAGATTTGAATGTCCACGTCGTCTTCGGTCCACTTCTTGGGCTCGAATTGGCCCCATTCCATCTTGCCATTGACGGCCTCCTTGTCCTTTCCAAGCCAGCCTTCAAATGTGGTGCTTGACATGATGGCGGTGGTGATGTCGTCTAGTTTGCGTGATCTGTGAAGCTACAATTGATCCGGAGTCGAGGCAAAGTATTCTTTACAAGTAGTGTACTGTCGTTGATGCAATCGGCGTCTTGAACCCCTCGTGTCCAGAATGCGACCGAGCGAACGGCTTTATATCATCCCCCCTCTTCACAAACTCCGCCAAACTCCGTATATAACGCCGCACACCCTGTCTTAGTCCTCTCCTTGAAGCTTCCTTACGACACCAAACCATCCATCGCATTCCACCCTCTTCGTCCCTCCCCATTGGCCACAGGCAACAAGCGGGCTAAAGCAAACACCCCCGATCTACCGTCATAGATAAACGGCCCAGGCTGCCATCGCCGGTAGAATCTCCAGTGTGATTTGAGTAGTCGGCCATTGTTTTTTTTTTCGGGGCTCGACGTCATGAAGGCGAAGTTTTCTGTTTTCGCTGGTTTGTTGTCGAGACGGATGGAGCCGCATCGGGGCTAACGTTGGCGATGGGCTGTTCATTGGTTGGGTGTCTGCGCTAAGGAAAAGGCACTAAGCGCTTAACGCCGATGGGGGGATCGGAGGATTTGCATTTCGCTTGTCGTGGTAGTGATGACATGACATCGGGCTGTGAGATGGGAGATTTGCAGTGACACCGCCGTGTCAAAAAAAAAGAAAAGATCGTTCTCAGAAATACCATCGCGTGTTGCGCAGGTGCTTAGTCACCCAGAACAACGAGTTGAAAGTAAAATTCAGTATTCACAACACCAGAAATTAGTCAATGTAGATATTCTATAGCTTTCCTATTTATTTGCAGCTTTAAAATCAACCTCTATATGCCTATATCATGCTGCTTTCTATGAGGTTTTGGTGGGTGACGACATCCGGGCGACATGCCAAGAACGATCATTTTTTTTGACATAGGGGTGGTGAGGGAAATCCATCTTTGATCTTATCGCTCTGTTTTGCCGTTGTCTTGACCTAGAGATGAGTCTTGTGGACGTTGTTATATGCAGAGTCGTTACTAATGATCAAACTCATTGCATTTCGAGGTGGACAACATCTTTCCATCAATCGTGAATTTCTACATCAGCCATAATGGCATGGCACATCATACCTCGTTTACAGTAGTACAGATCACAGCAATCATATACTATGCAGTCTCATCTGAGCCTCTCGTACCTCTCCTCTTCCTGTAGCCTCTTCTCCACACGCGCAATCGTCTCAGCATCATACACTTCGTCCAACCTCTTCTCCCCCTTCAGCACAGCTTTCTCATGTTTCGTCGCCTCCTCCTTGGTCATGAGCACCAAGTCCTTCATCGTAAGCATGCTGCATTTCTGCCCAGGCGTCCTCTCGTCCACAAAATTGGCCGTGGGCTTCTTCCACCTGACCAGAGTGAGACGGGTAGATAGCCCGCTGATGATGCTTCGGCCGCTGTAGACCTCTTCGACGAGGTAGCCAACATCATCTTGCGTGATGGGGACTTTGAGACCTTGTGCTTCCTCGATGAAGAGTGCGCGAGCCAGACGTTCTTCCGCGCCTTGTAGGGCGCCGAGAATGCCGTCGTACATTTTGTCGCGGGACTTGGACGGCAGGTATTCGTGGGGGTAGTCTGCAATCGAGAGAATGACGTGGTTTGCGACTGCGAGGCCAAAGATGGCGGGCATGGTGCCCAGTACAGGCAGGATGCGTACGCGAAAGTCTGCGAGCACACCTAGTTCGCCGACGCTGCCTCTTGCCACTTCTTCCTCGGATAGGGGCTGCAGTTCTGCTTTCCCGGGTCCGGGACGCTCAGTGGAATAGACTACGGGAATCCCATCTTTGACGCCTTGGAGGCGGAGCTTTCGTCGCGTGGATTTGGAGAGCGGGTCGTCTGTTGATGTGGAAATGTCGCCGATGAAGATTCGTGTAGGATCTGATTTGCATCCTGCACCCATGGAAGATATCACCTTGATATTGTTCTTGTAACAATAGGCCAGCAATGCAACCTTGCTGTCGATATTGTCGATGGCGTCAATAACAAAATCTGGTGGCTGTTCGTTCATGGGTGCGAGTTGCGCCGCCGCAGTCTGCTCACTGAAGAGTTCGTTGCGACATTCAAAGTGCGTCCAGGGGGTAACCTGCTCAAGGCGTTTTCGAAGGCAATGCACTTTTGGTGTGCCTACATCAGCTAGAGTTGCTACAGCATGTCGGTTCAAGGATGACAGTGTGACCTGGTCGAAGTCGATGAGACGAAGTTTAGAGCAACCAGATCGAGCCAGTGCGGCTGTGGCATGAGATCCAACGCCTCCACAGCCGACTACTATGACAAAGGCACTTCGCAGCTTTGCAATTCCAGGGTCGGTGAGGAAGACTCTGTTTCTTGCCAGTTGCTCAAGGATCAGATCTAGGTAATGTCAATAAGTTGCAAAGCAAAAGAATGGCATTGGCCTCGAGTAGACATGCCGTCATCGTAGTCGCCTTTCCTTGCTCTTGCCGCTAGTGCTGTGCTGCGTTCATCTTCTTTACTTGGAGCAAAGACTGTTGATGCAGCGCCATACTCAGTCATCTGCAAAAGAAATCAGCCTTTTTATCAAAATCCAGAGACGATGATTTTCATATCCTACTGACCCGTGATGCATGATGATCAGGACTGACATCTGGTATTGATGCCTTGAGATCCGCAACCCTTGTCATACGCCGTGCCTTTTGAAATCCAAGTATAGTACTGGCTACCACCACTCCCGAGACTGCAGCTGTAGTGATGAGCTGGGCATTGCGAGACTCGGTCGCTCTCGACACCCACGATGACATGCCTGCAAATTCAATACTTTGTTACCAAATTGCTGGTTCGATGGCACGTCTAGGAATCCATGGATTTGCAAAGAAAAGAATAAAAGGAGTTATAATTTTATAAAAAGGATGTAGACGTAGTGGCCTCGACTCCCGATGACCCTACACAGCGGTGAGGCTCAAAAAGTTCGAATTCATACAACTGGCGACACTAGCGTCAGAACAGGTTAGTTACCATAAGCGCATTTCATCCTCGATTAAACAAAATGCAGATGACCTCTGATACCGCACAGGAGCCGCCAGCGAACCATTCAAGCACGGCTGGACGCGTCTGAGACAGGCCTCACGCGTAGCAACTCACTTTAGGTCTCGTGAAAGTGTTTCGTAGCCCATAAGAAGCTCCAAACCTCGCGCACCAATCTCTGTGTTGCGAATCATCTCAAATATCCCTACACCCCATAACGCTACTCACCAATGTCGAAGCTCACACTCGCAATAATCGCCGCTGGCGGTGCGGCAGCAGGTGCAGCTGCAACAGCAGCCATATATTCGGTCAACAAGAAGGATTCTCTTCCACCCACAGCAGTCACCACAACCACCACCACGACCATCACAGGGCCCCCACGACCTGCACCGATCCCATCGCCTCCTGCACTCCCCGCCTCGGCCGTCGCTGCAGCAGGACGCAAGATTGTCGATCCAAACGGCCTTTTCCAATACGGTTTCCCGGGTCCTGTCAACGATCTCCGCCCCGCTGCCTCCCTTACCTCCGTCTACAACCGCCAGACCCGTAACCCTGCCTGGGTCGCCGAGCACATCACCCCCGAGTCGCTCGCAATCAATAACGCGGACCGCAAGCACAGTGTCTTTGTAGAGGACATTGGCATCCCTGAAAAATTCCGCGCAAAACTCAAGGACTACTTTCGTTCGGGCTACGACCGCGGCCATCAGGCACCGGCGGCAGATGCGAAATGGAGTCAGGAGGCCATGGACGCTACATTTGCGCTGAGTAACATGTGTCCACAGGTTGGAGATGGATTCAATCGAGACTACTGGGCACATTTTGAGGACTTTTGTCGGCGACTCACACATTCGTATCCTTCGGTGCGCATCGTTACGGGGCCATTATACCTCCCCAAGCGTGAGGCAGATGGAAAGTGGCGAGTATCATATGAGGTCATAGGAAACCCTCCAAATGTTGCGGTACCAACGCACTTCTTCAAGGTCATCTTTGCCGAAGACGGAACGCTGGGAGGAAAGGTCGCATTGGGAGCGTTTGTGCTGCCGAACGCGGTGATTGCGAACAATAAGCCATTGACCGACTTTGAGGTGCCGATTGAAGCTGTGGAGCGGGCAAGCGGACTGGAGTTTGCTTCCAAGCTTACTCCCGAGAGGAGGAAGAGGCTGTGTCAAGAAGTCAATTGCTCGGTGATTGTAAAGGAGTATGCGCAGAGGCAGAAGACATTTAGTAAGAAGTAGGTTTTGTTTGCCTGTGAGCGTAGCATAGCGAAATGAAGTATTCATCACATCAAACTAGTTCCATCACGAATGCCTTGTCTCATGTTGTTCAAATCATTCTCTTACATTGACTCGTTTTGCAACATAGTATACAGATGTGTACATGATACACGACCAGCCCTCAGACATAAGCTCGGCCTTGCTGCCACATAACAAGCGTAGTTTCCAAGCTTCCATCCTCATTGTGCACGCATAGCCAATTTGCAAAGACTTTCCATCTAACAGTCTTGTCCACTTGGCCCTCTTCTGCAAGACATCTACAATTGCAGCGTATTTTCTTGTGCTTGTTTCGTTATCTGCCCCACGTATTGTTTCGAGACGGTATTCCATGCGCTCATGTACTTTTCCATGCATGCTGACATGCAGCCCTCTTCGCCCTTGGAAAGAGATGTGCCAGGCTTAGGGACACAGCGATCGAAGCAGTGCTCGTTCAATTTCTGCAAATGTTGGTTAGCGCGGTAGTTTGACGTTGATCAAGGAGAGCTTCATACCTCGACGAGCGCGCGCGCATTCTGCATGGCAGATTCTTGCTGTACCTGTCGCATGATCATAGTCTTTGGGTCCTCGTTGCCCAGGCCGGAGCCGAATTGCGAGTTCATTGTGAAGTTGTGGTTGTGTGTGAGTTGAATTGGGGAGGATGGCGTGCAGTAAGGTTTCGACGTTATTCGTGGCAATGGATAGTGTAAGGTGGCAGTTGCAGTGGCAGTTTGTGTGGTGTTCACTTGCCCTCGGCCAAAGAAAGTTGTCGACGTCAAGATGCTTCTTGCAGGCTTCGCGATCCCCACCGTACCGGTAAGGCTAGCGCCACAGATCCCTGCATGCTTTGCGGAAAGGCCACTCATCACCACCGAGACCGACCCCCAATCGACTTCTTGGACATTCATGTCCGCCCACCCGTGTCATTCCCCTGCTCCCGTAGTAGCTTCACGTCTTTCTGAGGCGCTTTCGTCTCGTCATCCATTGTAGAAGTCGGCTTCTTCTCCTTCTTCTTCTATTCCATTCTTTCTTCCGCATCGAGCATCACTTGCGCGCCTGGTAGCTTGGGGATAGCTGGTATCAGCGAGCGGATAGTTAGACATTGTGCGACCATGTTGTTCGCAAGTTCTTGGGCGGCCGTGTGCCTTTTGGCGGCGAGTCTGACGGGTGTTTCTGCGAGGTCTGGGGGTTTGACCGAGGATCCGGATATCAAGGCGATTTCGGTGCGTTGATGCTGGCTTCTGTTGTTCGTTTGACACGGTCTCGCTGACAACATGCCTTAGTTACGGACACACAGCCTCGAACCTGTAAGTCGCACATCGGATCTCCAGATACGATTTCGATATCCCGAGAACCAATAGTGTGGTGTATAATGTGCTAACCATTCATAGCCATACCTTGACTCGGACATGCAAAGTCGATGGTGGGACTTTGGCGGAGACACAATCATTCGAACCGACAAATACATTCGACTTGCGTCAGACAAGCCCTCACGTGACGGCTGGATCTTCTCAAGAGTGCCTCTGACTGCTACAAACTGGGAGGTGCGCTATACGTTTCACACAAGTGGCTCACCAAGTGCTCACGCGAGTAGATCTTAGTCGAGTTCAAGATCCATGGACAAGGCAACCTGTTCGGCGATGGCTTTGCCATGTGGCTCACCAAACAACGCGCACAGCCAGGAAATGTCTTCGGTCACACCGACCACTTTGAGGGTCTGGGTGTCTTCTTTGACACCTATAAGAACAATCGTCCTGGCACCGTGTTCCCCTACGTCATGGCCATGAACGGAGACGGAAAAACATCCTACGACAAGGGCAATGATGGCAAGGCCAACGAAGTCGCTGGATGCTCCGTACGTTACCACCTCTCCTTCTCTTTTACTGTCTCACAGTACTGATCCAATCACGCAGGCCCGCGGTATCCGCAACCCCCAGATTGCTACCAAAGCTCGCCTCACCTACTTCCAAGACAAATACCTCCGCCTCGAACTCCAATACAAAGCAGAAGATGAATGGACGCAATGCTTCGAAATTCCGAAGTTCAAGGTCCCACCCGTTGCTTACCTGGGCTTCTCCGCCGAGACTGGTGAACTCAGCGACAACCACGACATCATTTCCATCAAATCGCACAATCTGTACCAGAAGAACCCCGGGGGCAACACCGCAGGCACTTCTGGTTCCTCGGCGCCAAAGAGCGGAAGCAGCATGACGCGCGAGAAGGAAGGTGGTAGCTGGACGTGGTTCCTCGTCAAGTTTGTCATGTTTGGACTTGCGCTTACGGGATTGTACGTCGGGTACACTGTTTACAGGACAAGGCAGAGAGATAGGTTCTAGAGGAAACCCTCGTACCTGCACTATGTAAGGGAGCGGCATACAATACACCATCGAAGCCGGCTCGGACGGGTGCATGGCAGCATAGAGGGTGGGGATACGAATGATTGGATGGCATTGTACAGCGTTGGATGCCGGAAGGGTCAGTGAGGGAGTGTGGGGAGATGTGCATAACTACTCGCGCATTCTGCTGACTCGTACCTATATGAGGAGTGCGCGGTTTCCTTTGGTTCTCTACAATGTTACAATATTGCTTCCTATGCATATGAATTGATTACGATTATATCCAACTTGCTTGCTTCGGATGACGGTATATGTTTCCACTTTCCAATGGCTCGTGTTCTGTCTCATGGCGGTGGAGAGAGAGAGCCTTCCTGTAATACAGCGGACGTGCTTGTTTTTTTTTGTTTTAGCTTTGCTCTAGCATCCGATTTAGATGACCTTTGGCCACATGGAGGTGTTTGTCGCGGTCATGATGTTCGTGATGCTTTGTCTACTTTTTCCCGCGGGTTTTTTTCTGCGTGGGCTGGATGGAAGACTCGCTATTCAGCTGCGTTCTAGCCGTGGCTTGTCCTAAAGTCGCCCCCCTCTTTGATAAGCTGACAGGAGTAGGTGACTCCTTCAAATACTATTCAAACTACACTAGGTTCGATGTTGTGCAACGGGGGCCTCGGTTGTCTAATGTCTAGGTCACGTTGTTCCGGACAGGAGCTCTAAATGGCCAACCTGGTTTTCAAATCTTTAGGGGATTTTCCATATCGGGCATGTTTTCTAACAGGTGTGGAACACGGATGAGTTGTACTGAATTACTAAATTGCCAAGACGTGGATAAGAACTCACATGTCTCGTCCTCGATGATTAGAAATTATCGAATTTACATTTTTAATAGATAGTGCCAGGTCTATTAATATAATATACTTGATGTTTGAGATAGGAAATATAGAGAAAAATGTAGAGTTCCAATTGAGTTAATTATTCCGGCCTTGGTGGTTGAGTAATTTTCATAATCTAGTTATGGTATCCACGGAAAGTGGCGCCAAGAAAGGCTTCCTGGGCCTGTCACGGGGATCTCGGGGACAGCAAGCGAGACTACTGTTTTTGGAAAGTGAAAGCAAAAGGTGTTGAAAGTCTATCAAGGTGTACGTACGGAATGGCCGAGAAATGTGAGACAAATGCTACGGCGACATGCCTGGTGCATGGTGGGCAAATCGTCACGTGAGTAAGCCTGTTGGTCGCTTATGTAATTAGTGCGCAACGTGACAGCGCGCAGGATACTTGTCGCGTTGCACAACCCAAGTCTGGTTTCTCTCACTCACCCACAACCCGAGCTGCGAGTAAGTATATACCCCACGCTCATTTCTTTTCTGCTGTCTGCGGTTGAAAGTCGCCTCTACCCGCGCCAGCGCAATACATCAAGAGAAGAATCTACTGATTAACCACCTGCAGGTCCCAGTGAACGACAAACATTCGTCACAAGGCGACAGCAATAGGTCTAATCCACCCCCGCGTCGTGCTGCATGACACAAGAACGGAAAGCAGAGGGAGTGCGCCACCATACTAGATGAGCCACATTGCCCATTCCCCAGTCCAGTAGCCATTGCACCGCGGCGCACTGCGTTGGGTGAAAGGTGATATCGCAGCTATCTGGGTTCAACGGTCTACCAAACACCCCATCCAACCATCCCCACCCGCGCATTGAGGAAAAAGTAAAAGGATCGAAGCAATTCATCCTGCCTTGCCTCTGTAGCCTCATGGTTACCTTAGGACGCTCGATGTCTGCTAATGACAATCAACATGTAGTTTTCAATCCGAGCGCCATCGCCTCGCGGGGCGTGATGATAGTGTGGGTGTTGTCGGGTGTCGGGGGAGTTTGGAGACGGGATTGTTATTGGAGGAGGGGTCCAGTGATGATGTTCCAATGGAGCATTAAAGCCAAAGTCGATTTGAGGAGCCCGAATGATTTTACTCCTGTTGGCGAGGCCGGAAGGCTGAGTTGATGGGGGCGTTTGTGGTTCTTTCTGAGGACAGCCAGGAGAGCTAATCTGAGGACCATGTTTACCTTTTCCAATGCCATTTGTTTTTTGAAGACTCGTCATCTTTTATTCCATTGCTTGTGTCGATGTCCTTGACTTGTTTGTACGCGGATATGTGTGCCATGTTTCTCGGTGTAACCCAAGACAATTGGTTTCTCCAGCTTTCCTGCCAAACATCCAAAACCCTCAATATATAAATGCATACCCTTGCCTTCTCCCTGCACAATATACAGTCCTCCAAACACTTCATTACAAACCTATCACGAGCTCGCCAGCCTAGTCCCAGTATCAACCCCATCCTCTCACAACAACAATGAGTACAAACCGCACAACGCAACTTCCTCCAACTTTACATTGCTGCTCATTCCGTCTAGTGAGGCGTAGTTGACTAGAGTCATGCGCTTGGGTTATTATATATACTGGAAAATCTTATACTTTCATTCCGATGATTATGCCTTCATTTTCACCGCATTTTAACAGAGGCCGATTCCGACGAAACAATCACCGACAAGGAACCTTTGGCGGAGTCAACGGATGCCGATCCCGCAAGTGAAGAAGAAGTCACGTCAGACGTCGACTTGCCCAGTCACTCCGAACCCGAATTACTCCATCAATGCTCAGTCCCCCATATCCATCGCGGCCCAGGCAGATCAGACGACGACTAGAGTGACACTCTTACCACAAATTCCAGCATCGGTTCTTACCTAGACGCCATCATCAGCACATATGAGTCGGACATGAACATAATAGTCATTCGGACCCTGCAGCGTGTGTGCCAGTTCGCTTGCCCTGTGCTGGCCGACACGTCCTATGTCATATCTGCGTGTTTCGTGGCCTTACTGAGACTGGGCCGCAATGTCCTTTTGATCGAGAGGATGTTGTTGGTATTGCGGAGCGTGAGGGCTGGTTCTAGGGCTACTACTCACGGGGTGTGAGGATTTGTGTTTTAAAGAAGAAGGTAATTTCCTACAGTGTTGTAGTTGCGGCTTTCAGATATTGATTTTGTTTCTTCCTCTTTGACAGGATAGAGACTGGTATGCATTGACAGGGTATAGATAATTCCCAATAATTCGTGCATGGCTAGGATTCTGGTATGCATCGCATAGTTCTAGATGAGTGGATTTTGTCTAAAGTCAATTTGCAGTTTCTCTCCCTGGCCTCCCTTCGAACTCGATTGGTTTACCTACGGGGCGTGGGAGGGTGATTGGCGTGATCTGTACGTTTCACTGTGCAGGGACAATTGGGGCTGTGGGTGGTGTCACGGGCGGGGGGAAGGGGAGGAGGAGGGAAACATAATATCTTCCAATCTCTACTCAGAATCTTTTTCCAACATATCGATTGGAGAACACTCAACCAGAGCAAATCACCAAGCACCACCAAACTTCGGCCGCATTGTTACGTCCTTTTCCACACTCCAAATCACGTCTAACTTCAACATGACCGACTCAGGAGCAACTCGCGGACGCCAAGGAGCAGTCGAAGACCTGAACGAATCTATACTCAGCTTCAATAGAGTGTATCTTCGAAATTGCAGAAATACAGCAATGAGACATCCATTCCCACACGAGACACACGACTGCTTCCTCGAGCTACTCTACCAGACTCGCACCAACGGTGTGAGCCTCGATGAACTCATCACCAGCCCGGAAGACTTTGACGGCAGTGGCGTGTTGCTCAAAAAAATCGCATGGCTTTGTGTGGATGATGATGGTCTTTTCGATGAGAGCGTATCTTATGATCTTGTGGTCGAGACTACTGAGGATGTTAGACGCCGTGGTGATGGCATGCTCGTTTCAGTGCCTTCGGGAATGGAATCGGAGTCTGAAGACGATATGGATTCTGCATATGACTCTGATGCAGAGGATATCATGGATACAGACGATGAATCCACCTGTACGGACGATCCCACGGAAGACCGTTCTGGCTCAGAGGATACCCTAACTCCAGACCGAGATTCAACTATGGAGATACAACCGGTCAATTTTAACTAATGAAAACACCAATATTGTCCACTCACTAGATCCCTAGCACAGTGAAATAATATTCCTACATCAAACCCAAATCTTTCCCTCTCCCCTTCACCACTAACACAATCCAAAACTCTCCCTCAAATCTAACCCAGCCATATTCCAAAAGGACAAAACCATCCCAAGCCACCACAATCATCATGTCAAATCCTACATTTACCTCCAAACGAGGCAATTTCTCACCTTCAACCCCCCCAGCCCAACCACCCCTCGACACCAGCGACCGCCGTGCCAGATTTAATATCCGTGTCCAACGCATAATGAACATCGGCCCCCTGACCCCCTGGGAACACATCATTTACACCACCATACAGTGGAAACTCAACCACCCCAGCATAAAAACAATGTCATTCTTTCTCTCAGATTGACAAACAGCCTTTGCACACATGCCCGGTGTGCCGAGTAAGTGGTGTTCATCTGATATCCTCGAGATTCGACATGCAGCTTACAACCTCCTACCACAGCTCCCCATCGAAGAGGGAGAAAAAGTCAACACGCGCAGCCTGCACGAGCTTATTATAGTAGCGGTCCGGCACGTTGGTCTCGATTGGGTGCCGGGAGATAAATTGGTACACCTTGCGGTCATGATGGGTATTGTGTGTGCCCTCGTTGCGCAGAAGCTGCGGGAGGAGAATGGTTTCTTTGATGGCTTGTGCGCTTTCGAGTTGAATCTCGTGGTGGATGCTAGTGTGAACTGTTTGGCGGGATCGATGGATAAGGTCGAGTTGGGCTGGGATGCGAATGCAAATGTCGATCGGCTGGCAGATCGATTGGTGGAGCGTCTTGGGCCGCAATCACGATGGGGTGCGTAGAATTCTTTGGTGGATGTGGCCTGCATGAACATGCAGAGTATTAATTTTGTAGCTTTTTGAAAGCGGGTTCACAGGGATGAGAGTATCATGGAATACAAGTGATATTTCATCTCACCTGGTGCAATGTGATAGCAAACCTTGAAGTATTCCCATCCATGAACATTGTGTTCAGATTGGTTGACGTGGAATTTGTATGGGGTCAGATTACGTGACATAGCAATTCAGGATCGACAAAATGTGTTTAATCTGAACAGGAGCAGCGTGCATCTTGATTCGCCAGCCATTGCATTTTTGGATCAGGGTTTGAGTTTATTTGTTCATCCGATCCGACGCGGCATGCAAGTCAACATGGTGGCGTTAATAGCGGCAATGGTGGGATTTCGCATCAAGATGATTAGTTATGGTAAGCTTTGACTTGACCTGAAGGTAGAGACATGCGGCACAAGAGAGCAACTGAAAAGTCGTACATTTTGCTGTACCCCTGTGCCGATGAACTGACTGAGTCGCCGGACCGTCCCGTAACTTCGACCTTGGACTGTCGGGCGTACTGTGAATAGATCTTCACTGCACGTGTATGTACCTAGCTGAGAGACGACGAGGCTTGGATTGGTGATGTGAACGTTTGGAGGACGGCACGGTAATTGTCTTGGGCAGCAGTATAACTCCATCAATTAAGGCTTGGTGTTTCGATAGGTATAGTTGGGATGGAGAAATCCGCGCTGGGTAGTTCATGCTATTGGTTCTTGTTGCTGGCCAGGAGGTCGCTGGTCGCCTAACCTCCACCCACGAAAAAAACGAAACCAAGACACTAGTACACCTCCACCTCCTTACAATCCGAGATTGTATGTGCACAGTACATCCAACCATTGGTTCGCACGCTCGGAGCGCTGCCGCGACTACTTTAGGAGTGACATGTAAATGGACTTTGAGTCATGGCCTGCTACCACCTGCCAAAGACATGGCTAGAAAGGCCACGAGTCAAATCGGCTTGGAAGCCATGAGAAGTAGGGATTGCGATGGCAATTGAATCGCGTGCTGCGTATTCGCTTGATGAAGCAGCAATCCAATCACGGCCGCCGTCGTGATTGATGAGATCGACGGACCCAGCCCGTGGGGCCGGTACTTAGTACTGTATTCACACATACAGGCATTCGATGTCATCTACGATCGACCCGTGTGGGGCAGAAATACTCTTGCTTCGAGCCTTGTGTTCCATTCAAAGCCACATAGACCTGGATTCGAAGATGTAGGTAGACCTAGTACCCTTGATTACCTAGTTCAGGGTTCAAATTCATCACCTTTCTTTGTGGTGGGTACGCTACCAGGCTGGCGTTCGCATCGTACTGTACGAAACCGATACCGTGAACGTCTGCACCATGTCAATGCACATCTTGGAACCGTCCGGGAAAGGCAACTGTTGGTCTTCTTCCAGCCTGGTCACCGTGAAAGATGCAGGTTCCCAGCTCACAAGTACCCTGTAAGTCCAGTGCGGGACAGATTTTCCTTTGTTGGGGGTATGCAGAATGCAACAGTCGTGTGATTGTTCAAGGATAACCATGCTGGTGACGGAGCAACCTCGAGACGTAGCGTGTACCAGCTATCAAGTTCTCATTCCCTTCCCCTTTGATGATGAGCAGCATTCACAATCGATTTGATTAGACGCAATTGTCCGAGAGATAGGACAATCTCCCGTCCATTTGTGTAAGAATGATGCCCTGATAATCTTGATATATTAGATAATCGTCTGATGTTGAAGTTTGCGCCTGGAGCATCAGCATTTTGACATCCTGGATTTCCAATTCGAGCAATTGTGCCCAATGATAGTTGTCCAACTGGGACGCACTGGTGTGTGGGGCACGTTCTGCATGTACTGCAGTATGCGGTTATACATCCGCATTCCAAGACAGGATCGTTGAAGTAAATGTGCCACACTCATGAACTACTGCTGCCAAAACCCTGTCTGTGACCCTGAATGCATGGCAGCGGTAGCACTACGGTAGCCCAGGCTACTTCTACCAAGTAAAGTATTTCTGAGCTCATAAAGCGACGAGATCAAGCTGCAGTAGACTAGCTAAAACACTCGCTTCAGCATCGCCACACTATCTGAAACTGCAGAAGATTGAGTGTTGCATTTGCATTCGAATCGTCATACATGTACGACTCCATGGATGACAGAGCGAGTGTTAGGATGTGGTGATCGGGGAAGTTTCAGATGCTCAATTTTAAGCGGGACCTCGTAATCTGGAGGCAGCACATTGTACATAGATTCGGGCATTCTTTTCAACAACAGTTAGCAAGCGAGCCTAAGGCTAGATTGGGCTCTTTGTCCTAGTGTACCAACTATGGTAGGTATTATTCTGGCCGTTTGTCCGATGTACGTAGATACATAGTCCTGAGCTCGCTTGTGCCTATGAGCACGTGTTTTTTCCCAACCACACAGTATGATCGGAAGACAATCCGCTGATTGTGGTTGATCTGGCGTTCCGTCCCGCAGCGAGGGAGAGCGCTGTTTGAGGATGTATCTGCGATGTGCGGATGGACAACTCACACATGCTCGAGAATCATAGCTCAGTCTGCTGCAGTACGATTTGAGCGATAATACCGTGCAGTCATGCATTTAGGCAGATAGTGATGGTGTGCAGGGTCAAGCGCCTTCGCAGGTGAGCGAGCCTTTCTGCCCGCATAATGGTTTGGGCGTCGGACCCTGCGTTCTATTCTTCCGAGTACGGAGAGGGAAACTCTGTGGGGAAATGGGGTCCAGCAATCTACGATGATGCTCAAATGATGCATGTCACCACCCTTAACTCCAGGCTTGGAGCTGGCCAGAAACGCTGAACCAAGGAACCGGAGCGTTGAGCCAGTGGGCCCATGAACTACTGGAATAGTTTGATCTGTGGCTCTACCGGTACAGATCCTCAAAAGTAGCAATGATCATCCTGGAAGACAGACTGCTGCTTGCTCTCGAGCCTGCCTGAAAACGAGAAAGTCGACTGGCCTTATTAGCGCTCGTGCTATACGACTTGAAACGAAAGGTGCGCGATGAGCCCGTTTTCTTTCATGAAAGTGTGCCTTCAGCAGCTGGTGCGCCCGTCAAGACCGCGGCCAACGTCCAAGGAGGTTGTGGCGTAGATACGTCCCAGAAAGGAGATATTCTGGAAGAAAGGCCGACGCGACTGGACCGCGAGCATAGGGTCCACAACATCGTCATTTCTGCACCGCTAAGTTCTGCCACAACCGAAAGGGCGAGAGAATTTCCAGTTGTGAGACGTGAGCCTGACGAGTCCAATTCGCTTCTTTCTCTAGTGCTGGTGTCGTGGTTGACGCTTAAAGGCACTTGCCTCGGAGCTATCGAAACCCTATCAAGAGTTTAGTGCAAGCCATTGACCGTGCCTTTACTAATGGAATAGCATAGAATGAATGCAAGGGAAGGGCTGAAGTGAATAGGAGGACCGTTCATAACTCCCTACAACTGGATCAGCAAGCTGTGACTCTTGAGGTACTGGCTGTGAATTGAACAAACAAAGCAGTTACCTAGAAGCAGACGAAAGGCTCAGTACTCCTGCAAGTACATACCCAAATAAGAGTACAAATCTCAGAGAAGACAATCCGTCGGTGCATTTGATTGTGGCATTTGTTGGAGACTGTAGATTCGGGCATAGCTACGATTGACGCCGGCGAATCTTCACAGATGCACAGGTTGTGCGTGCACATCTTCTACCGTACGAGTAACCATGATCGATTTGGTGTTTCGCAACGTTACGGGTAATGGTAGTGGGTGTATGTAACTGACGTTGTCACTCTAAGAGGCGGTCCGCCGTGCATTGGAAAAGAGGAAACCATCTCGTAAACGTCTTGATGCCCTGCATCGCGTCGCTATAGTCCACGCGCGCAACTGGAATCTTTTGCCGTGAGGGTGTGGTCAGTCTGTAAGGTGTGTTTGGTGTGTAGCAGCCCATGACGGCCGGCGAATAGGACATTTGTGCACCCCTCCATCTCAATGATACCAGATAGATAGTACTTGGCTGACCCCACAAACCTCATCCAAATGGTGGCGTGCAAGCAAGAGCAAATCGGCAAGTCTGCCGGCTTGAAGGGCTATTTTCAGAAGACTGGATCAGCAAGACAAATGCATTAGCTACAATGGAACATACATAGTATGCGATCAGCCTGGATGCCATAAATATTCAAGCCAAACACTGGTGTAGGATCTGAGGAGCATAGAGAATCAGTTGGACATGTCCCTAATGCGAACAGCGATGTTATGCCAGCCATAGGGGTACGGCACAGCCGACCTGAGCACGGTGATTACCATTCCACGGTCCACGGAAGTCTTCTAAGCAAGCCTCCGGTTTGCAAAGGATGGACAGCCCAGATTAACAATACTGTGGGTGGCCATCACATGCGTCATAGCTCTCCACGTGTGTGCCATGTGGTGATGGGCATGGCGCAAACTACCGCCGTAGTTGGGCCGATCGGCCATTGATGGCGAGAGAGGCGTCATTTCTAAAGTAAGCCGAAGACAGCCAAAGACATTCTGCTACATGTCAGTTCCTGCGACTTTGAAGAGGAATCAGGAATAGTTGAAGACTACACGATATCATGCTCCAAAGACAGAGAAGAGTAGTGGCTCTCACGCCTGAGGCAGAAATGCAGGTCTCGACCGCAACGCATGTATAATTTTCTGGTGGCACATGGTCGAGGAAAATCGCCATAGCTAGTACCTACAGTAGGCAGAGAGGCGGCGCCAGTGCTGTGCATTTTCCTGCATGTTGCCCAACGGATGTCCTCACGGTGTTCCGGAGCCGCTTCTCAATAGACAGTTACAAGCACGGTGGACGTGCGTGATCCCCTAAAGAGGACGAAGTTCTGTAGCGAGAGGATGTGAGAGAAATGTGACTCGCGCCAAAGAAAGCGCAACGCGGCTCGGGGTTCGCTACGATGGCTAAATGGACCCTTTCCAATGAATACAAGCAGGCTTGTAGCGTAGCCGTGGTCGCATGCTCTACGCCGTTCGACTTGTCGTTGGGCGGGAAATGGTACCATGGTAAATGTCCTCATACTGGACCTTCCAGGCTCTCTCGTTTGCCCCCTGATGACTGCTTCGTCCGTGTCTCTCCTGAGCCGGAGTCCCAGTCCGTAATATGGTACGTTGATGTTGTGTCTGAGTGGGTTCGGCTACAATCGCCCACGGGCCGTGCAGGTCAGATTTGCAAATGCGAACGGCTGTCCCGCCGGCTTGGGCAGCCTGGATGTTGACCTGAATCAATGGTAAGATATGAGCCAATGATGAAAGATGTGGCGCAGTGAAGGAGCTGGCCCAACCCCCCCTATTGACGTTCCGCCATGTCCATTAACCGGCCCTTCGTTGCATGGGCCGCCGACGGCGTTGCGCCCCGTTGCAGGGTTGTGCAACATGCTTGCAACTTGCAACCCATGCTTAGGCTTTGCATAGGCTTCCTTGTAAACGGGGTGGTTGATGTCGTCCCTCGGTCGATGGGGTGGGTGCCAGACATAACCAAGACTAAGCCAGTCCTGTAGCCCCATCGTGGTCTCCGCAAAGCCTAATTTCTTTTAACTTTGAACACCCTCAAAGCTCTGCGCATTGTGGCATTCTGCGTAATCCGTCATAAGTAGGCCCGTGTTTTACTCGAATCGCGTCCGACTCAACCCACCCCCGGCCTGACGCACCTTGCTGGTACCTGACGCTTTAACCTAAAGGTCGCTCTCAGTCCGCAGAGCTCCCCAAAGATCTTCCGTAGGTGCTCTCGATGCTGAAACGTGCTTGAAGCGATCCAAAGGCGAGCCCTGCTCCAAACCTGGTTCTTCCATGTCGAACGGTTTTGGTCTTTCTTTGTCTGGCCGAAGCCATTCACCAACTTCCCACCACCGTCACGAGAAGAAGGAACGCATTCACGCGAATCTCCACGATCTCGGACTTTTGGACGGACCCCGTCACAGGAAGAGCAAGAAGAAGGCCGTCGAGTTCAGTTCGGCTGTGGGCCAGGGCAACAGTACTGCTCCCAAGCTTGTTTGAGTCTTTGTCTTGAAGCTTAGGGCGCTCATGTCTTTCCTAGGATATCGTCCCTCCTCGCGCAGCAGCCACTCGCACCACCACTCAAGCAGCGCGGCGAAATCCCTCCCTTCCCACACGCAGCGATCGAACCTATCTTTCGATTCGCAACTACCGCCCCATTCCGGCAGAGGAATGGCTGGTGTAATGGACATTGAGAGAAGTCGAACCCGACGAGAGAGGACCTTTATCGGCAGTGAATGTTGCGTATGCGAGGAAGACTTGTCATATACACTTCGCGGCGAAAAGGTCCTGCAACTGTCGTGCTCACATGTGTCCCACGAGGCCTGCTTCTACGAGTATATACGCGAATTCGACTCGCATCATTGCCCGACATGTGATGCGACCTTGGCGCTAGACACCAGTCGGGGAGCCAATGTAAACCTCGGTAGGTGGCATTTTTGAAATGGACCGCCCGCAAAGTGCTAATTCAAGAGTCAGAAAAACTGTCCACGATAGTGCGCTCTGCCCAGAGCGAACCGTCACATTCACAGTCTGGAAGCCACCGCAGCGCCACCAACACGCCCACTCCTTGGGACAATCAGACGATCCGATCAGAAGAACAACATAGCCAGATCCATGGCCGTTCACGCAACGGGAGCGACGCCTCAGGACGGTATCCGGTTTCCCACCCGCGAGCACGTGACAGCAGCCATAGTCGAGACCGGGGCTCGGATCGAGGTGGATCCATGTCGAGAGCGCATGGCCGCAGTGATTCTGGCGCAACAGGCGTCGCCTCCTCCAACGACTACGCAGCAACCCACGATGGCCGACGACATGACTACGATGTGCAGTCCATGGAGACGAGCCTTAGTCCTCGCGGCCTGATCAAGAGCCCAATCCCCCCGCCCACCGTCACGGTTCGCAGCGAATTTCCGACTCTTAGCAGATCACGCCAGCAACAGAGCTTGACCTGTCTGATCACCATCGAAGTAGTTGACGGCAAATGGCGTCCGAATCCAGACGACGTGCGCGGTGTACCGCCGTTGCCCGCTGTTGGCAGCTCGGCGGAGAGCAGTTACAGGCGTGAGAAGTCGCCGGTGAATGCCAGACAGCTCGAGCAGCAATACGAGTCCACGGCGGAACTGGATGAGATTACGGAAGACTTGCATGCTCGCGTCGACAACTGGCATGGCTTGGACTTCTCGCGATTTGGAAAACTTCGACTGCACGGACACATCCGCGTTGGGAAGGACCGGCAGTCCTGGCAGGAGCTCGAATGTTATCTGTTCTCCGAGATGCTCATCTGCGTCAAGGAGAAGAAGGTTGCACCGCAGCCCCAGTGGGATGTCTTGGGTGCTGCAGCGGACAAGAAGACCAAGTGCACGCTCAAAGGCTCCATCCTCATCAAGAAGCACTTGATCCAGGTCGAGCATTCACTGGACGACCTCATCCTAACCCTCAGTCTGTCCGTCGCTGAGCTCCCCTCATTCCACCTACAGTTTCCCGATCGCAGTCAGCTAGAGTTGTGGCGACGAGCTCTCATGGACATCCGTCTAGAGTTCCCCATGAGCAACAAGATGGCCGATTACGACCAAGACAACTCCGGGACCGAGGACGACGAGTACCGCAGGCCGAAACGCGTCTCGTCTGTCAATTCATCATACGGTGCGGGCAGGTCCATCATGACTGCGCCCACCGAATACACAAACTCGCGCGGTGGCGGTGTACAAGAGGCGCGCATGACACAATCCATTCACGTGCCCATCGACATCGTGGTCGTGATACCAGTATCCTCATCGATGCAGGGCTTGAAGATCAATCTACTCCGCGACACCCTACGTTTTCTTGTCACCAACCTTGGCGACCGCGATCGCATGGGCTTGGTCACGTTTGGATCGAGTGGAGGCGGTGTGCCGATTGTTGGCATGACGAGCAAGGCATGGAAAGACTGGCCAAAGGTACTCGACTCCATCCGGCCCGTCGGTCAGAAGAGCCTGCGCGCCGACGTGGTAGATGGTGCCAATGTTGCCATGGACTTGCTCATGCAGCGCAAATCCAGCAATCCGCTCTCGAGTATTCTGCTCATTAGCGACTCCTCGACATCTGACACCGAAAGCGTCGACTTCGTCGTTTCCCGTGCGGAAGCTGCCAAGTGAGTGATCCAAGTTGCTTTGTACTTGATATATTGCTAACACGCTATCAGGGTTTCTATCCACTCTTTTGGCTTGGGACTGACTCACAAGCCTGATACTATGATTGAATTATCCACTCGAACCAAAGCATCATACACCTATGTAAAAGACTGGATGATGCTTCGCGAGTGTGTGGCCGGGTGCCTGGGCTCTCTGCAGACTACATCTCACCAGAACGTCAAGCTTAAGCTGCGACTGCCTGAAGGGTCCCCAGCCAAGTTTGTCAAGATCAGTGGCGCTCTGCAGATTACAAAGCGAGCTACAGGGCGCGACGCTGAAGCAGCATTGGGCGATTTGCGCTTCGGCGACAAGAGGGACATTTTGGTGCAGCTCGCTATTGCTCCAGACTCTGGTTCCCCAGAGCAACTGCCACAAGATCCTTGGGAGACGATTGTGTCCGGTCTAGAAGCCCTAGGCGGACCACTAGACCAAGACGATTCCCGCACGTTGAGTGTCGAGGAAGTACCTCTGATACAAGCCGACCTTACCTATGGCGACATTCTTCGAGAAGGCACCCTTTCTCACCTTCCTAGACCATCACTTCTCGCAATCACCTTACTTCCTTCGGGGTCAAAGAAGAACTCCACCAATGGACCACCAGGGACACCACCCATCCCACCTCATCCTCATGTCGTACAGCGACGAATGGAATTGCTCACCTCAGATATGCTGACACGCGCCCTAACGCTTGTGTCGCGCGGACAACACGAACGAGCACATCACCTACTCAAGGAGACGCGCAGTATCCTAAAAGGATTGGGCAAGGGAGGTCTCCCACCATTACCACCGCCTGGTCACCGACGCAACGATGCCTCCAGTGCCGCGGGCAGCACTGGTAGCTCGTCACCCACACCACATAGCCAACACGGCGAACTGCGCCCCCGAACACCTTCACCCCATGCCGACAGCCCCTTTACGCCCGCAGCTGGTATTGACGCTAGAACGATGCACGCACTCGATGCCGAATTGGAGTCCAGCTTAGAATGGATCAATCACCCAGCTGTGTTTGGAAGGGACTCTCGCAAGGCTGTCCTCCAGGCGATAGGTGTCATTTCATCTCAACGCGCATACACGTTCAGATCGCCATCCGAGTCACTTTGGGCAGAGCGCATTTCAGGCGTCAAGCGCTTGGCAGAACGCTCTCGCGATTGGCGAGAGGCGGGCGATCAAGAGGCGTTGATGGAAGAGACGTAATCCTGCAGCAACGTCTTACCTTACGGCCAGCATCATTTTTTTTCTGTATACCAACTACTTACTTCGGCGAATTCTGGAACTATTATCGATCGGCTTACGGCCCGGCGAACGGATAATGGGGGGGGGGCTTGCGGGCTCAGGAGGCTTATCATGCGCTCATCCTGCCGGCCTTGATTATTTTTTTTTGCGTCTGTTGCGCACTTACCGACTTTTACGATACCACCCACGGTTCCATATGTTTTTTTTGCTTCTTTTGGATTCCCACTTGGTTTGCAAAAGTGGGACTTGAGCATCACTATCGTTTGCAGCTACTATAGTATGTACTTAGAGGATACCACATGCTTGGCGACTTGATTGATCGTACGCATCTTAGACGCAAGAATATCACATACCCTTGTCTGACCTTACTGTTGTACCCCTCCCTCACTTTCTTACTTTCCATGCTTTTCATAAATCGTATGCAAGCGTACGCACATTCAATATCAACCGCAGCCCCGGGTCAATCCCAATGTGGCATACTCGTAGCCTTATTCAGTTCGGAGTTGTTAATTGGCCCGAAACATGACAAGGGCATCGACTCCACATGCCTTGTTCGACAATCAAGTTCTCCAGACTCACGCGAGTAACTTGTCTCTCTCTGGGCCAATGCAGTGGAATACTATCGTCGATACGAGCAATGTCCGACAGACGTTCTGTCTACGGAGTTATAACGCCAACATTAATACTCCTCCTCAGCATGTCCCATGCAGTCTCTCACGCAGTCACCACGGCGCGGTCGTGTCTCGGTAGCCAAGCGACTTTGTGCAAGCTCTGTGCACATACTGTACTTATCCACAGCGCCGAACTCATGGGGCAAACGCGTATAGTCTGCAAAGACACGGCCACTAAACAAGTCAAGTCGGCCAAGAGCCTTGTGCGTTTGCTTTTGGGTCCAGGTAGTCCTGCGCCCAGTCTACTACTGTGGTCTCGTAGGTCTGTACATGCTTTTAGCATGCAGGCATATCGACACTGAAAATCCACAGCCTCATCTTGAAGATCGCATCCAAGGGCCTGGGCAGACTTCGGGTTCTCGACAACCTCGACTACTTTGATTACCTACCATTCAGAAAATGGTAAGATTTTGCGGTGATCATCTACTGAATGGGGAGATCCTTCGCTGCAAAAAGTAGCGATAGCCCCAGACAAACACATACATTTGCGCTTGTTGGATGAGGTTCAATCTCGCCAACGGTGACTTCCGTTGTCCAAAGGAGTCATGTTGTTGATTGGAGACCATGGTACTGTGTACTTAGCTGGCTGTGATTGTTCGACCAATACTGCATATGTAGTACTACAGCCCGATGAACTGTTGCGAAACAACGATAACCATACAAGTACATGTTACACCAGTGTCATCCGCCGACGTTGGGACAAGACGGGAACATGGAGAAAGCAGCACCAGAGATCGAGATCTCCACCTCCCAGACGCCTTGCGCAGCTCCGCTCCAGTTTCCATCAAGGCCGTCCCCACGCCGCGATTGGGAATCGCCAAATCCTGAAACGAATCTCCAACCCCACTCGCACCACTCCGGAAGGATTGTCCCTCCCTGGACAAGTCCGCTCAACGCTCAACACTGGGCAGCATCCTTTGTCAGCTATCAAACCGGCATTCGATATCAAAAAGCTGTTAAGATAACCTCTCAGGCAATGCGACGTCGTGCAAATGTACTTTTACAGCCCATCTTCCAAACACTGGCGGCAGCATGTAGACAAGAACACCGATCGAGAGGATGAAACAGCGACCTCTGTCGTCGTTTCGCATACTACGTACCGGTACCTACATACATCTCGTGTTGCCGCATCTGCATCTAGAAGCCGGAACCGCGAGCCTTGCTTTTACGCAGAGTTTTCTACTATAGGCAGGGTAGTTCAACTACGTCCCAATCATGCACAGGGACCGGCTTCTCGACCTTACACAGTAAAAAAGAAAGCTGTCAATACCATTGCCTTGGAACTTTTCAAGTGTGCCCCACTCTCGACTTCACAGAGGAGGGTCAAACACCAATACAACGCCCATCTTGACGAATCTATGATGTCGAACGTTTGATCTCCCTGCTCCATGCGACCAGCCAACTCTCTTGACACGGACGCCACGGACACTGTTCGATCTTCCCCGGTTCCCCTGCCTATCCTTACTGTTCCAGCTGCCAGCCCCTCCAAAAAAGCCTTGGGTCTGACCCCTGGATAAGCGTTTGTCAGAGCGGGTCAGTCAGAGTCAGCAAATCTAGCCGCGAGCCCTGGGCGGTCCTTCAGCCACAGTAGGCGACAGGGATGGCGTATGTTACGACTCCACTCGTCTCCAACGGCTATTCCAGTGTACTTGAGTACAAGTGCCATGTTAGTCACACACAACACCACCCACCCACTTCCCGAAGCCTGTAGGTTACAAGCAGGGTACATTAGGCGAGTTTCGAATGTTGGAGCGAACTGGGCTGGGACGTTTGGGCTTTTTTACGGCCGCATGCAGGGTAAAAAGCAAGAAATTCAGTAGTAACAGAGGCCGTCGTGCCACTCAAAGTGATCCAACGTGCAGTAGGTTGCATCTCAGGTACTGTGGTTTGTGGTACTACATTTCACATTTTCTCCTGTCAATAAACTGCATGCATGCTTTTTGCATCACGTGTGCCCAACGTCGCGGTGCTAGGATCCACTCGATACCACAGCCCCTCGCGTTACGATATCCGTTATTGTGCGACCATGATGCTTTTCTTTTTGTTTTCTTCGTGGATTTTTGCTTTTGACATGCCGCGATCGTCGCCAGCCTCGTCCGCTTCACTGCCATGTTGTGCAGGAGATCATCCATGGCTTCGAGCTAGAGCCTAGAACGCGCCAGTGAATTCGTTGTTTCAGGAAAATAAATATGTGCATGCAGAGGTTTATTGGAAGCACTGATGTCGCTTCGGCTTGAGTCGTGTCGCTCGCTGCACTAAACTACTTGTACAGACATAGTATAGAACCAAACGCAGACAACACCATTACGATTGGAACATGGTCACATACAAGGTCCTGTCGTATCCTTAGAAGAACTTGCTCACACTCCAACTGTGCGATATCTATACTGGTAGAGCTTACTGAGTAGGCAGGCGTCTCCGCATCTATGGCCGATAGAGCAACTTGCAATATAGTGACTGTGGTGTCCCAACGCTGTGCAAAGCCAATCGGCAGTTAAAGACGTTTACCTCCTTGAGGCAACGATATCTTGACAACATGAATTTACTTGCCTTGCGATGAGGCATATTGTATGGGTTCACAGTATAGTAGGTACACTAAATCCAAAGTCCAAACGTTAGTTGAGTATACACTATATTGCAGCAGGATGTTATGGCGATGAAGGAAAATTTAATCTACAAAATATCCATGTAAAATGGTAAACTGGTAATTATACAGGCTCGGCAGTTCAGTCTTTGGGTAGGTGTTTTGTTCGAAACCAGTGTCTCTGCTGAGGAGCGGTAGCGAACAGTATCTTTGTGTAGCATACGTATAGTGAACATCACATTTAGCGTCTTGATATCTTACTACACAGCACATTTGTTGCGTTGACATCTATACGCACAGCATGTCTCAGAAGTTAGCTATTATTTTGTCCCTAACGCAGTTTCTGAAAACGGTTGAAGCGATTTGCAGACTCTCATGTGAAAAATTAGGAAAGATCGAAGTATTCACGATATGTTAATGCAAAGGTCATAAACCTCTGGACTCCAGAAAACTCCCCATGAGCATTCTAGAAATGGAACTTACTAAAAGTATAGACTCTAGGTAAGACGAATTTAGTACTTGAGGTATTGACAAGGAGCTTTAGTTCTTCAAACATAACGTTGCTGTTCACTAAATCGCGCTGGATTTGGGACTTCTGTGGACTGGAGATTCGGTCGTGTCATGCACAAAACACGTTAAGAGTAATATTTCTGCTACAGTATCAATCTATATAGAGGCGTTTAGTTACTATAAGTCGCGCAGACTGCATGTTTATACCATGTGATGTACATATTCCACTCCTCGAAAAGTAGTACATCAATCAGTAGTTTCGCTAAATTCGCGGCCAAATATGGGCAATTACTATGAATATACGATATGTGCTATGTCGTCACATGCCTAAAATATGTCAGATCAACACGTTTTGACGGCTTGAAACCTGTGTATACCTAATTTAGTCTACCCCGCATGTTTCAGACACAATATTAATTGATTCTATTCGATGCTTAATAGCACTCCCAGTCACAATAGTATAACAATGCTCAATATACCGGTACAGCTAGAAATCGACCGATCGTAACCCGGTTCTCACGAGCGGGATACAATTGTACGTAGCGATGTGACCACAACCTCACTTTGTCTTTCATTGGGTACCATAGAACTGAACAGCAACTGCATAAGTAAAACAACAGTTCTGCCGTTGTTGTCCCGCTATCATGTCGCCTACCGGTAAAGCCAACGAATAGCAAACCTGCATCACATCCGCTTAATCAGCCGCAGACACATCACATATCACACATTGGGCCACACATCCCACCAAACATGCGCGTTTACCCAATGTCGTGTAGATCAAATAAACTACGAACCATTTTGTACGTCGTTCCTCAAAAAGCAATTCCCGTACAGGGTAATGACAAAGCAGGGATAGCCAACACAATACAGGCATATATGCCTTGCACAACCAACCCAACCCCAACACAACATAAAAGAAAAACCATGCGTATACAATCAATCCACCTATTAACCCACCAGCAGGTATTAAGAGCCCAAACCCATGGGTTGAGTCTTCTTATTCCAACCTCACAAAACTAGTTCGCGCCTCACATCGCCTCACAAGAAAACACACGGCACTTCTCCTCCAACCCCGCCACAACAAATCCCCAACCCCAACTGTCCTAGTCAGCCCTAAAACGGTATATATTGCCATACTGAACCTATCCAGGACCCCTGAAGCCTCTTGTCAGCACTTGTACAGTCTGCTTCGGGCCTTGCGCTGCTTCGGTCCGATCGGCAAGTCTATCATACCCGCGCTGGCGAGCCGGAGGGCGCCGCGGTAGGGCGGGAGCGGCGAAGTAGGACCGAGAGGAGTGGATGGAGTGTAAGAGTCAGACCGTTGGAGAAATAAAAAAGGCCCTGAAGATCATTTTCACTGTTGGGGCGCTGGGGTAAGGCGGTATCGGAGAAATAACAGGCGAATGGGGGAGGGGTGTGAGGAGTGGTGCGTTTGCGGGAGGGGCGATTGGAGACGATGGGTGTGTAAAGGTAGATTTGGTTTATGGTGTAGGCACAGTGTGCATGGTGGATATACTGTGTATGTGAGTGGCATGTGTGGAGCTCGATTAGACATGGTGAGAGAGGTGTATGCAACACATGCTTCGCAGCTCATCTACGTTCGTATGCTATGTCTATCATTCCCACATAGCCTCCTCTACACAGTAATACACCTCCATGCCCGACCATGCCCAAAACAAACTAACAAATTCACCCTGAAATCCCACCCTGAAATCCCATCCACGCCATCATCACCCCGAAGCCAGAACTGACCACATGCTTCGAGCCGAAAGAGACCCCCGCCTACCTAGTACACTTGGAGCCAGCGCACGCGCCCTCTTGGTCCTCCGCGCAACTCCGAACACTGGGAAAACCAAGGGGAAACCAAGGGAAATCGTCATACTGTTCAAGTACATGGTGAGGACCGGTCAGGCTTACTGTGTGCTTGGCTGCCCATGCAGGTATCATTCACGCTTATCATAGCTGGTTGTGAGCCGCCGTGGCGGGCAAGTGATCTGTGCGAGAGGCTGTGCAATAAAAGGGATGATCTGTGGTTCAACTGGGGAGATGATGACGAGGGGAGGTTGGAGGCGATATTTTAAGGTACAGTGGGGAATAGTGTGCTTAATTCGCTGCGGTGATGACACAGGTTATGTGATGGAGATGAACACATCAATCGAGTAGAAGATCCTCTCCAACCGTATACATTAGTCAATCTACTTTCGAAGCAATCGTACCAACCCTCCCATTGTGTCCAACACCTCTAGATACTCGACTGTCCACAACTAGAAACAGAGGGCGTATGTACTCCAACTATTAGCACATCTACTGTATATCTTGCGAACAACCAACTCAGGAGACTTGGACTGGTAATACTATGCATTCGAACGTGGGACGTTGTGTTGGATTGACGTTGAAAGGTAATGTGTATGCTGATGGTTTTCAGTGTGTGGCAACGTTCTTGATTTAGAATAGTCGTGTTTATATGGGGGGATTGGTACTTGGGACCAATTATGATTTAAGATCATACATTTAATTTACGTTAGTTGTGTAGGTAGCTTTTGTGAGATTAAACTTTTCAATGCATGACGATATTTGTCTCTATGGCTAGCATGCAAGAATCCCATGCCATGAGGGAGAACTGTCTCTTAGGGGATGGTAAAGAGTAAAGGGATGAAATGTGTCTCGGCATGTTTTTCCACGTTTCTCTACAAACAGACACTTGTCATCCTTGATTTCTTACGCCTACTCCTTCAACTCCTCCGGTTCCTCCTCCACATCTCGAGGCATACCCTCAATCCTCCCCTCCCTTTTCAAGTTCTCATACAAGCTCAATGCCGCCAGCGCCTTTGCATCGCGACCCAAAAACCGCCATGCCTTGTCCAGCGGCACAAGCTTGAGCGTGATGTTCTCACCTTCGTCAGGTAGTCCCGTGGCTTTGTTCTTGAGCCAGGACATGTGCTTGCGTGTAAGTCGCTTTTGGCAAAGGAATAGAGGGATGAATTCATCACAGGCGCCGGGGCTGGGGTAGATGCCGATTTCAGTGGCTTCGGTGGCGGGTTTGGCGGAGGTTGTCGTTGTGAAGGATTGGGTCTAACTGTTGTGTTAGTCATGAGCTGGGCATTGTGAGGAGGCTGAATGAGCTGACTTCGCTGTCTTCGTCGTCGTCGTCTTCGTTCGCCGGGTGGAACTCTGTGTGTGTTGTAGAGTTTCCCGATCTCCATAGTGATATGGAAATGTCTTCAAGTGCGAGTTCGGTCAGATTGATGAGATCATTCTCCTTGACTTTTAGGCCTGCTTCCTCTTCGATCTCGCTTGCTGCAGTGCCTTTGAAGGTGTTGCCGTCGAGCATCCCTGCTGGGATTTCTGCAAAGGCTAGAGAGCCTGCGGCTATCCGTGGCTGTATCGTTAAGATGACGAATTTTTCCTCTTCGCCTTTTGCGTCTTCTGGTTGCACGATGATCTAAATTTGTGTCAGTTATGGTCACAATGACCGGTTTCAGCAATGCAGTGTAGTCGTAGGAAGCACCTACGAGCATCGCGACACTGCCTCCTCTTAAGAATACAGCACCAGGTAGCCAGTCCGCTCTCGCATCATCTTCCCCCTCGTGCACATAGGGATCGGTTTCTATCTTTGCTGAAATCTTCATGAAGCCCAACTTGTCCTCCCTGTCTGGCTTGTTCCGCCAAAACCAGTCTACGGCCTGAATCTCAATCTCACGCAAGCGGTATGGGTGTTTATGAAAGGGGTGATCTTCATGGTCCTGTAATTTGAGATTTTGATTCAGTTTTGAAAACCAAAGTTGCAGGGCTGGAAAGGTAAAGGCGGGCTTGGAGGTAGACGTTGATGAGGTGAAGAGGCGTAGGAATTCGCGAGGACGTAAATTGTGGGGCAGGTAGACTTGTACGGATGGCGTGAGATCTTCGCCATTGAACTCTTGGAGAGCCAGGGTAGGTTTGCGTGTAAAAGAAGAGGGGACTTCATCGTGAACTACTGCGAACATGCTTGGTAGCCTGGTAGTAAGTAGTCGGGATAGACCGGTATCCTACCTGTCAGAGTAAGCGAGCAAGAGGGTGAAAGGAAATCAAGGAAAATAAGAAACTAGAAGATCAACGACCGCCAGCCAACAGACTTTTGACCGTAGCAATGATTACGAAGGTGGATTCATAGACTAGCATACATGAGGTGTACCAGAGCAGTGAATCTAGATATCGTATGGGCAGTGGCAGGGTTAAAAGCTAGGTGCATCACGTGCACGAGAGTTCCCCGGACCCCCACCATGAATCTATGATGGAGCTCGCTAACGGTCTAACTAGCGCGCCCTCTCCGCCACCTCACCGTGCCTCTCTCCCCGCGTCGCCCCCCAAAAGTACTCGAAGCTGTCGCCATTGCCACGGGAACTAAACAAAAAACAAAGGCCCCCCATGGGATAGTTGGTTGATCGTGATTACCTTGTACCACCAAAGCGCAAATCAAAAGCGAATACCTTCTATGAGCGTGCTTGCTTCGGCTTGAGCGAGGCCTATTGCTGCTCCATTACTCCCTCCACCCTCGCCATTTGGCCTGCCATCCAGAATAAGTCATGGGCACGCTCACAGGTGATGTACCGCGACTAGACTCGCATTGCCCACATAAACTCGCGACTTCGTGCAGACTGACTGCGACGCCCAACTGCTGTGCATGCGCAGATGAGAGGCCACATTCACAAACCTACCGTGTATACATTGATGGTGTAGGATTCGTACAGCGAGGAACACGGTGGCAGGGCTACTGCTGGTTCTGCAAAGGTGAGGATGTCAGTGAGCTAATAGGAAGCCGTAGTCAAGCTTACACAGCACATAGAATTCTGGACCAATCGTCTGGCGGCCACAGACCCTCCTCTCGAGATATCGCAAACACGTATACCTGACGTGCCAGACCAGACTGAATTCCTTGCTCGATGGAACGAGTTCTACCAAGGCTACCAAATTGAGACGCTTGCAGATGGTACTGAGCAATGGTCAGCGGTGCTTGGTGAGCGGTTCAGCAACGTCAGCCCTGGCTTTCTACCGCGGACGCGGGCCCTGCTCGAAGCGGGAGTGAGAAATGACGCTCGCAGGCCAGGAAATAGGTTCGCTAGGGGGCGACTGCCAGAAGAAGAGAGCCAACCAGAAGCGCCACACCAGAATATAGAGGATTCTTTGGATAGACTGCTCCAGCAAGCTGCAGATCCCGAAGACGACACTTGGGCGATGCTGCAGGAAACTGTACGGAATCGTTCCAACAATTGGACGGTGGTACATGAAGGGCGGACTGTGTCGGCAAGACTTTGGACGTCGTTACAGGAAGAAGAGATTTTACTAGCGTCAACCTACGCGGACGAGATTCCTGAGATGAACGCTCCCGAGCCGCCACGCCCATTCACTCGACAGGACGCTCAGCTACTGCGCCGACGGGAGCACTTCCGACGCCTTTTTGGTAGCCGCGAAGACGTCCAACGAGAAGACTACGAATCCCCGGTGGCAGCCATGTACAGCAGAGCCGACGCACGGTATCGACAGGCGGAAGAGCGACGGGCGGTAGCGCCAGTAATTGGAGACGATATTTCTGTCCAAGAACGACGAGAAATCGAGGAGCAACTCTTGTGGGGCGTAATGCAAGACTCACAAGCCATGTCAGAAAGCCTCGAGCGTGAAGGTGACGTCTGGAGCTATACACCGGTTCCCGTGGTGGACCAACTCACAGTACCCGAAGACTCAGTCGAAGACGTTCCCCTCGACCGCACCAGCCCATCCATCGAACATCTGACCTCCTTTGTGGAGCATATCGAGCGCATGTCCGATGCCTTTGGACGACCTGGCAACCCACCCACAACTACACCCTCCACAACCGCCGCCACCAACCCTTCCCTCACCGCAACCTCCTCCTCCTCACCCCTAGCTACCACTACCCCAGCAACACAACCCACACCGCGCCACCCATCGGACCTATCCGACATCCGCACCTCGCTCGCCCACATGACCTCGGAACTCGCCCGTCTCCGCCTCGTCTCCTCCAACCTGGCCACCGCCCGCCGCAACCCCCGCGTGCTCCCCCAGCCCTCCCCCAGCCTAGACAACCAGCCCGACCGGCCGCCACCCGCCACAGATGCCGAAATGACGAAGCTGCTAGCCTGCCAAGTGTGCTACCAGCAGCTAGCTGACACCGCCCTACTGCCGTGCGGACACATGGTCATGTGTCGCTGGTGTGCGGATGTCGTGGTCCCCGTGCGCCATGCCCATATCCCCGTGGGCGTGGTAAAGTGTCCGATGTGTAGGAAGGTGGTGAAGCAGCGATTTAAAATCCACATGTGAGTCGCGGTGGAATGGGTGAACTGCATCTTGGCTTGGAAGTCGCATGTGTGAGTAGCAGGGGAGTGTGGGGGTTCAGGGCAGTAGAAGAAGGAACAGTAGGATAATAAAATGACAGGTTGAAATAGGAGGTCAGCAGCAAAAACACCCATGACTTCTTCCTCAATCATATTCATATTCCCATTCCCATCCCCATTTTCCTACACAGTAATTCCTTTGACACCCGCAGCCAGTCAGTACAAGCGTAGATAAAAATCACACAGACTCTCCCATCAAAACACCAAAATACATCAACAATCAACAGTCCCATTGACCCCTTCCCCCTCTTTTTTTTTTCCCTGCATCAAATCACGCCCGACAGTACCTTACCACTCAGATGACAAAGCTACGCACTCGACAGAAAAGAAACACCGAGAAAACCAATCCAAAGGGCTCGAGCTGGTGTGTGAATGGTATCTCAACGGTATACGGTGTCTGTTGATGCCAGCGCTACCGCTACCGCAGACCCCGATTTCCACAATCAGCGTCAGCGTCAGTGTCCACATCCGCGTCTGAGCAGCGCAAGGTGATGTCGTGAAACATGCGACATATTCCTGCATATTATTTGATCATGAAAGGAAAAGAAAAGAATGTTTGGTTATCATCATGACATGGCATTGATATTGACAGGCTAATCTACATGGCCTTGTACATTTCACACCAGCACAGCCACAGCCACAGGCACAAGCACGAGCACGCTCTTACACATGCACATCCCACAACAACAAGCCCTCTTACATATTCCTCTCCATCTGCATCCCCATCCCCATCTACACCCCCCACCCCCACCCTCATGACTCGCCCGCCTCACCCATGGTAACGTCGCCAACACCATGGTGTTGAACGAGCGGGGAAGTGACGGGTAAGATAGCCGAGCGCGGACGATTATATTCTACATCGAGATGATCTGGCATGCTAGCCGGGCTGGGAGCACGCGAGTCGAGATCGGATTCTGGGGGAGGGGAAAAGTCCCAGACCTGCGGGGGGGATGGAGTTAGTAATGCGTTAATGAAGGGGGGTTCGGAGATGGAGAGTGCATTGACTGGCGCAAAAGAGGCTGGCTGACTCACCTCCATGATGGTACGGCCGCCTCTGCTGGCCATGATGACTGCCTTTTCCTCCTCAAAGACGACGCGCCAGACCGCCTCGGCGGGGCTACTAAGTTCACGCACGAGCGTGCCCGTCTTCAGGTCCCAGACTTTGACGCGGCCGTCGCTGCCGCCGCTGACAATCCGCGTATTGTCAAACTGCAGGCTGGTGACACTGTTGTCGTGTGCGGCCAGTCGGTGGACAGCCTGGTAGTTGGCCAGACTCCAGACGCGGACCGAGCCATCCGACCCGCCCGTGACGAGGATGTCTTCGCGCATCTGAAGCTGGCCGACAAGGGAAGTGTGGCCTTGTAGGACGGCTAGGCATTTTCTGTGCGCTCTGGTCAGTCGCCAATAATGCGGTGCAACATCGGATACGCTTACCCATCGTTCGGATCCCATATCCGCACACTCGTGTCCAGACTGCCTGTTGCAATCTTCTTCCCATCAAAGGCGATTGCGTAGATTTGGCTAAAGTGTCCGGTGAGGGTTCGAAGGCATTTACCCTCGGAGATGCTCCAAATCTTCGCGGTTGTGTCGTAGCTGCCAGATACAACAATGTCGCCGTATATCTCGAGACATCGGACGCTAGCCTGATGGCCTATAAGAACATGTTTGCACAAACCCTTTGTAAGATCCCATATCCTCAGCGTCGTGTCTCGGGAGCCAGATATCGCTGTATTCGAGTCTGACATTTTCAAACACCGCACTGTTGATGTGTGTCCGCGTAACGTGAATTGGGGAAAGCTGTGCGACATTAGCTTCCATTGTCTCTCCCATTTTCCTGTTTGAGGGCAGGTTGTAAGAAACCCAACTTACCCGGTGGCAAGGTTCCAAACTCGAACATCGCGGTCGCAGCCTCCACTGACCAGGAGATCACCCCAAGGCACCATTGCCCAAACGCCCATGACATGCCCTTGCAGTGTCTTTTGGTGGTCGCCTACAGTGTCAAAAACGTGAATCTTTGCATTGTCGAGCGCAACTACAATGTATTTTCTGGTCAGGTGTAAGCTCGTCACAACACCCTGGTCTGGAGTGATTTGCCGGGCGTCACAGACTCCTCCGTTCCGCCACGCGGTTTCCACCATATACCGCTGTTTGAAGTGAGAGCGGTACGTGGTAGGCCTGCGGAATGCTGTCTTGCGCTTTGCCTCGCGATCGAGGCTCTGTGTTCGAAGCCCCTCAGCATGCAACTGCGACTGCGACCGGGCGACCTCGAGCTGATCTCGACTTGGCGCATCGTCGGTTCTCGATGTGCGGTCGTCTTCCTGCCACCATGGTGACTCTGCATCCTCCATTCCTCCCGGGCTGTCCTCGTCCATCTCCCTCGTCAGCGACCGGAAAGAGTACTTTTGACAGAGCAACCGCCATGCACCGTCGTCGTTGACTAATTCCCTCCATTTCTTGGATACCTGCGATGCCCGAGCAAGTGTGGTAGGATCGTCGACGCATTCCAGAATCTGTGAAAAGTCAGCTACCTCGTACATGTCTGTCTGGACCTGTGTGCTAAAAACATGTCCGAGACCAGTGCAGAGCATACTCTTAAGCAGAGCTCAGTAGGCAGTTCCATGAAAGGATCCTTTTTTAGTCTGGGGCTGACGAATTCAGCCACAAAGCTGAGTTCCTGGCTGTCACACAGATTGAGCAGTTCCCCGAGCAGCCGCAACCGCTCCGCCCGGTTCATGTCGCTGAAGTTGGCCCGTATGTTCTTGATGTGTGAGTCTTCATGTTCGGCTGCCGTGCTCCAGTCTGGTACTCGCTGTGTGGGTGTCGGACTAGGCGCTGGGGTGGGCGGTGAAGCCGGGGCGGAGGGGAGGAGGTTGTGTGGTATGGTCGAGGACAGTGGACTGGTCGGGGTGATGATGGGCCGCGGTGCTCCTGACCGCGACATTCTGCTTGGTTTGCGGGCATGCATGTGGGTATGGGTGTGGGTGTGGGCATGGGCATGGGAATGAGCGTGGGCGTGGGCGGCCGACGAGCTAAACATGACGGCTCGCGAGGAAGAGGCTGAGGCGGCCATGTCGGTGTCAGAGTCGTCGATGTGGGCGACCGAAGGGTGCTGGTCGTCGAGTTGGGCGGTACTGAAGTAGTCATCGTGCTCCATGGCGGCGGGGGGAGACTGGGAGCCGCTCATCAAAACTGGGTCGGGCTGTAGGTAGAGTACTCTGACAGCGGTTTGCACTCGCTGGCACTCGCCAGGCCTGTCGGATCGGAAGCGGTAGCGCGCTCCCTGCGTGGTGCACAACACTACAACGGTGACGGTGACGGCGACGGCGACGGCGACGGCGACGGCGGGATGCAGGGGCGGGCCAAGGACGGTATGGAGATGTGCGGTGGCACACGGAGTGGGAACAGGCTGGTCGGCGGGCACGAGGGCTTGCTTGCGGGCGGACGAGAGAAGGCTGATAATCGGGGGAGAGGGGAGAGGGTTGTTTTTGTCTGCAGCAGGTCCAACCTTGAGCGCTCGCGAGTGGATGCAGCGCGCGCGCCAAAGAGGGACAAGAGATGAAGCGCAGGGGAATGAGGGTCGGTCGACTTGCCGGCGGACCACCCACTTGGAAAATGAGAAATCGACAACTCAGTACTGTTGAATCCACACATACAGATGTACATATATACACACCACACACATACACACACACAGCTACCCAGGTGCACTCACACACACACCAGCAACGGGACAAGGCCATCACGCGCAGACGCAGAACAGGCACATGCACCCAGTAAAGGCCCGGCCGTCCATGTCTTCCAAGGTTTCCTTCCTCCAGGGCCTGGCTGGCAGGGCGTTTGCAGAAGTCAGATTCGGCAAAGCCCGCTGCGAAGCTCCATTTCCAAGCTCCGCCAGCATCCATCTTGGACAATCAATCAATCCATCGCCTTGCCTCGCCCAATGCCCACTGACAAGCTGACAACCGGTCCCTGCAGCACGCAACACTCACTGTAGGGGCGAGAACGCGAACTCGTCCCGCCTGCACAGCGGGGGGGGGGTACTCTGGAGGATGCAATTAGTAATTACCTGGATGGATGGATCGTATAACGCAGTCTTGATTCGATCTTTTCTCTCTTCTTCCCATGCTGACCATCACGATCGGGGGGATGACTACTGTATGTACCATGTACATACCATCCTGCGCCCTGGAGTCTTGGACCTAGGATAGGTACCCTGGCCCTGGCCTGCTTCAAACATCTGGGCCCCGCGTCCAGGGGGGACCGTTCATGTGTCAGAAGCACTTCAGTGCCAGTGCCAGTGCCACTCTACCTTGCCTCTTTAGCCGCACAGCTACCGTAGGCATGTAACTTATGCACTCGGCACTCGGCGGCTGTTCGTTCTTGCAACTCACCTGGGAGCTACCACCCTTCTGTCACACAAGCAAAAGGGATCCGATGGACTCGAGCTCTGTGGACAGGTTCCAAGCTTGAATCTTGTCTTTGGATGAAACCATGTGACAAGGTGGACAAAACACATGAGCAGTGTGATTCGGCCACCTGCTCGAATGGTCCAGTCGACCTTGAACGTACAATTCTGTCTGAGTCTGTCCATGATCCAGGGTAGGTGATTGCCATCTAAGCCTTTGTACTCTTGTGCTCAGCGGTGTTGGTATTGGTGCTGGTCGTGATGGTAGTGTCACTGTGCTAACATGCCCAAGTTACGATCAGGTGATCATTCCAAACACCATCACCTAGAAACAGTACACAGGACACTGTTCCTCTCGCCTGTGTCGTCTCGTTTGAGTCTGTGAGGTCGCGGCAGATGCATCCGCTAACGACAGGGGAGCACGTAATCTCCTCGCAACGTCATTGGGCCCGAGGATGGATGGCCTTATCGATAACTCATCCAACAGTCAACCACAAAGTCCAGACCGTTATTAATCAACCAAGTGGGGAATTGCCATGATGCATCGGCGGGAGTCTCCTCTCCGTCCCTGTTCTCTATTCTAATACATTCTCGGTCTCTCTCACCTGCGGGAGGGTTGGGACAAAACTCTTCGACGATGAGTGCTTCACGTGCGCTATTCGCTGTTGCGCGGGCATCACGGACCGCCGCAACAGCCCACGCAAGGAAGCCAATACAAGGCTCGCCGCTGCTGTTTGCAAGTCCACCATCCATTCACAGTACTCGTACGATCCACCAGCCGTCGCCACGAAAAGCCCAGCAGGCCACAGCGACCCCAGATGCTGAGCCTGTCGAGTCGACGAACCCAGGACTGTCGTTTCCATGCCTGGACGCTTATGAATCTCGCTCCGAGTCCCTCTCAAAACGATCGCTTTCCGGGCCCGAGCCCTCGTATACGTCGGGACACACGCTCAATTTCCACTCGCGGCAGCCTATCCTGCTCGACTGGGGCGGCATTCTACCCGAATTCAACATTGCCTACGAAACATGGGGTGACTTGAATGCAGACAAGAGCAATGCCATCCTCCTGCACACTGGTTTGTCGGCGTCCAGCCACGCCCACAGCACTGGAACAAACCCAAAGCCAGGGTGGTGGGAGAAGTTCATTGGGCCTGGGAAACCGCTGGATACCGACAAATACCACGTCATCTGTACCAACGTGATCGGGGGCTGCTATGGCTCGACAGGACCGTCATCAAAGGATCCAGCCAATGGCGAGCGGTACGCAACCCGATTTCCCATCCTCACAATGGAGGACATGGTGCGCGCGCAGTTTCGGCTTCTGGACCATCTGGGCATCCAAAAGCTCTACGCAAGTGTTGGCTCGAGTATGGGAGGCATGCAGAGTCTGGCAGCGGGCACTCTGTTCCCAGAGCGCGTAGGTCGGATCGTCAGTATAAGCGGCTGCGCACGAAGCCACCCCTACAGCATCGCCATGCGACACACCCAACGACAAGGTCCGTCTTATTCCCCTTAGACACGTTTCACTGTCCCTTCTAACACGACCACAGTCCTCATGATGGACCCCAACTGGTCCCGCGGCTTCTACTACGATTCTATCCCTCCCCACGGCGGCATGAAACTTGCCCGCGAAATCGCAACCGTCACCTACCGCAGCGGCCCCGAATGGGAACAACGCTTCGGCCGGCGCCGGGCAGACGCCTCGCGCCCCCCCGCGCTCTGCCCAGACTTCCTCATCGAAACCTACCTCGACCACGCGGGCGAGAAATGGTGCCTGGAATACGACGCCAACAGCCTCCTCTACGTCTCCAAAGCAATGGACCTCTTCGACCTCGGCCTCGCCCACCGCGAACAAATCTCAACACTCCGCAAACAAAACGCACACAAACTCCAAACCTACCTCGACGGATCCGCCCAACCCCCAGACTCCTCAGACTCCCTCGCCTGCTCCCTCACCCTCCCAGAGAGCCCGTATGAGGAAAAGGATGAACGGGCCGACTTTGATCCCGCTCACATCTCCACCGATCCTCCACCAGACTTGGTCGCCGGTCTACGCCCCTTGGCGAATACGCCCGCCCTCGTCCTGGGCGTCGCAAGCGATATCTTGTTTCCGGCGTGGCAGCAGCGTGAAATTGCGGATACGCTGCGCAAGGCGGGGAATTCTCGGGTTCAGCATGTGGAGCTGGGTGAGGAGAAGAGTCTGTTTGGGCATGATACGTTCTTGTTGGATTTGGAGGGTGTTGGGGGGGCCGTGAGGCGGTTTTTGGGTTGAGTGTGTGGGATGTGGGGGAGGGGGGGACTTTTTTGGTCTTTGTTTTTTTTGCGGGCATTGGTGGTGGGGTTTATGAGAATGTGGGGGGGTGAGAGGATGGGTGGTGGAGTAAGAAGTACTGGAATCTCATGACATGTCTCCTCTCCTTTCCTCTCCTCTCCGCTCCGTCTTTTTACCCCTGCTGTCAGTCCTTGACAGTGAATGATGCAGTCACTCCTCCGTCACATGTACATGACTAACAGCAAACATGGCCCTATACATGCACACCCAAACCTTTTCATCTTGCCATCTCCCCAACCACCCCTGGAATCACCCAGTCAAACGTTAGACGTCCACGTACAACAAACCATCCAGACCCAGGCAAACAAACCCATCCCGCTCACACCCCACCCCCACTCCTCTCCACCCTCACATTCGCCCCCTTCCAGCGCGGCGCCATCGCCTCGTCCACCCACGGACACTCCGTCACGTCCACATGCGACCGCACATACTCGACCAGCGTTTGCGCACCGGGAGCATCTTGCATGATGGCGAGAGCGGCGACACGGGGGATGCCGAGGTAGGAGGCTAGACGGGGGTCTGTGGAGGTTGGGAGGGGAACGAGGCGGGTTTTTGTGGTTGGGGTTGTGGGGGAGGACAGGGTGGCGATGTGTAGTAGGGTGGGGAGATGGGCGTGGGCAGGGGAGGATGAGGGGTTTGGGTGGGTGAGCAGGATGAGGGCTGGATGGTTGATGTTGGGTTGGGCGGTTGGTGGTGGTGATGGTGGTGGTGGTGATGATGGTGGTGGTGATGATGGTGGTGGTGATGATGGTGGTGGTGATGGTGGTGGTGGTGATGATGGTGGTGATGATGGTGGTGGTAGAATGCTGGGTGCGAGGGTGGTCGGGGCGTTTCTTGCGGCTAGGGCTTCGAGATGCCGGGTTATGGCGTTGAGACCGATGAGGATGTGCTGGCTGATGTCGGGGGGTGGTGGTGGGGCATCAGGGAGGGTTGTGGATTCATCCTTGGGGTCTGGATTGGTGGTGCGTTTGCGCTTCTTTCCTTTGGAGGCGTGGCTGTGGGTGCGGCGGTGCTCTCCTAGCGGGGCGACGAGACTGGAAATGGTCAGATTTGTCGAAGTGCAGATGCAGGTATGCAGAGCGCCGGTGATGGGTGTGGAAATGGTGGTCTTCTTCTGACTATCGAGTTCACTGCAGACCTACTTGCAAACCAGGTCGAGGATGACGTCTTGTTCGTCTTGGTTGATGTGCGGCCTAATGCGCCCCGTTAGTCTTGCTAGGCACAGTAGTAGGCGTGGTGGCGGCCTGAGTGGATGGAGTGCTGGGGGAGCCACCATTTGGTTTCGGTGAATGGCGTGGCGGTCTTGAAGACAGGTTTGGGGGTTTGTTTCGGGGCCATGGGAGGCTGGAAACACACACGCGGTCTCCGACGGTGGCGCAAGTGGATCAGCAAAGAATCTGATTGTACTGCAGCGTGATGGTTTTGCAGTGTGGGTGCGTCTGTGTGTATGATGATGGGTCACGAGGAGGTGCAGAAGACAAAAGGAGCGGAACGCAAAAGAGACGGGAAACCAAGAGAGAGAAAAAGCGTGAAAAGTGGATCTAGGCGGCAGTGCCTTGCATTAGTTTGGGGGGGGGGGAAGGACCGAGTGGCACAACGTCCTACAAA